TTCAAAATTTATTAACCCTCTATCTTAATAATAAAACAATATAATCTAGCAATTGTAGATATCTATTCTGCATGGATTATAAATACGTTTATAGCGAGCGCAACACGTAAGAACTGGGGATATTCGGATTGAAATCTGTACATACGTCAGCCAAATTTCTCTGTGAAACATTCCCAGAATCCCTGCACTACCCAATGTCCTTTGCGCAAATAAATAAATAATAACGTAAAGCACACAAGGCTATCAGTTTGCAGAAATCTTTCAAAGAAACAAAAAATAACATATGGTTTTTCAACCAAAATTGCACTAGGTCTATAGTTTCAAACAAACGCTCCGAGCTGCGTGACGTCGTGTGACGTCACAGCTAGTCGAAATGTCTCGTGCGGCTTAATGTTTGTAGTGGTTGATCAATTTTTTAAAAAGTGTTGTTGATGGTACAACTGCGCTCGCCCCAATGGTCACACCGTAAAACATATTATTTTGATATCTGTTGTCCAACAGATTAAAATACGTATAGATATACTTCCATTGTCTGACGAATAAACTGTGTAATAAACATGATGTCTTCAGCCTTTCACATCGTCAAATCGACTTACAATTGCCAAATAATTATTAAGAAATAGGGCACCTTATTCCTTATTGTGTTGTATTCAGATGTAAAAACGGGTTTGTAATGTGATCAAATTCCATAAAGCCCTTCAGGCGAAGCAAATGATATCTAATTTTTTATATTTACTTTTATTTGCAATTGCCTAAAACTAGATTCTCCACATCTTAACTAAGCGTTGTGGTTTAAGGTAGGTCGCGGGTTTGCTTTTGTCATCAATTTTGGTACACAATTTTGACGATTCGAGCGGTTGTTTTGTGCACATTTGATTATGACGTCAGTTACGCCACAAAGGCAACGTCACGTTGTTTCCCGTTTAATTCTCTGCAAATGTCTTCAAGTCTGTACGAATTTAAAAGTAGATTTAACATAAAGTGCATGCTTTTGTACGTTAACCTTGTACATGTTTTATAATTAAATTTCAGTCTGAATTCTTGTGTGATAATATGTAATGTCTTAGGACTAATTAAATACAATACCAAAATGAAAGCAATAAAGTATATTGAAGTGTAACTAAACTGCTTTAAGTCAATCAGAATAAATTAGCGTAAAAGTTATGGCTTGCAGAAAGAAAGTTATCACGAATAAAAAATTGCTTAGCGAGAACTTGAGGGATTGTATGTGCGCACATTATTTGAAACTCAGGGGAACTTGACTTCAAATCAAAGCCGCGGCGAAAATATGCGTATGCTTTTCAGGATGGAAATGAATCCTCATCACTAAAAAGGAGTTATATTTAATTACAAGTATTTTCCTGTTTTTTTTTCTTTTTAAATTATCATTATAAATATTGGTTGGTTGTTATTTATTTAAATCTCGTGCACTCGCCTTGTTTTGTTTGTTAATAAACTGTGAAATGCATTTAAAAAATCAAATTTATTCAAACACCTGGATTTTAAGACTTATAAAACACTGTAAACAATTTACAAGTATAATATTTTTCTATATATTTTTTTTATGACAAAAGTTCAACATGTAAAAGCTAAATGCAAGTGTTTTACATTTTGCGTATTGAAATTTAATTCAGAAAATTCGAAATTAAAAAATGCTTGAGATTTAGAGCAATATACTATAGCTTGTGACTAATATAGAAATGTACACCCCCACCCCCTGCCCACTTATTTCCTCATTATAGTGATGTTTTACCTACCGTTTTCAAATAAAGTGATCAAATTTTTGTTTTATTCCTGAAATCCTATTGACCATGCATTTCCTAAAAATACAGGTACTAATATTTTTTCACTCGCGGTGAATATTTTCGCTGCATGTTAATGTCGCTGCACGAGGATTATTTATACCGTTCATTCTGACTTTGTGATCAGAATATGAATTTCACAATACTAGTGAAAATAAGTTGCTGGTCATCCTAATATATCTCCGCAATAAATTGAATGATGAATAAAATTAAATTTTGTCTCGATATCACCTTTTAATTCTTGCGTATTCCATAGGTCAATATATTTATACTCGTACTGTAAACGTGACTACGTTCAACAAATGACGTTGTAGACATAAATAACGCAATAAACGCCAAATTTGAGCATTTTAAAAGAAAACTTTGAAATTATTTAGCAAAAAATCTAGCGAGAAGACATATTGATTTTTTTATATTAATGGTTTTGATTTTACCTCATCTTGACATTTTGAAATTCCTGAATAATTCGTCTACGTCTTTAAAAAGTTATCCAACCTTTTTAAAAATAAACTATTTTCACAAAATTGGCTTAAAAAAGTCATTTTCCCATGTATTTCAATGGTAAAAGCGTCAAAAAGGATTAAAAACTATACTGCGTTTACAGTACTATAACATTAAAACTACTTAGGCAAATTTAATAAAAATTGCAGATGATACGCTTTAAATTCTAAGGAACATTTTATCAAATTTTCAGGATATGTTTTCTCGTAAGAATTTTTATGCAGTAAACCCGCGACCTACCTTAAATAACGTAACAAAATAGTTTGACAATCTTGAAACTATTCAATTAATATGAAAATACGAGGGCCGTTCAAAAATTACGCGGACTTTGCTATTATTTACTCTTACAGACATCATATCGTTATGAAATTTCGCAGAAACATATATCTTAAAAATTCAGATACATTTTGGGCAAAATTTCTGTATTTTGAAAAAAAAAATCTACTTAAATTATCGGCATGTTGATATCGTTGATGGAGAGATACGGCGCACGACAAAAAAAATTGAATCAAAAGAATGCGGATTCAAAAATTTAACTCACTGATTTTCTAAAATTTCGCGATATTTTTCAACAATTTTCTCAAATATACCTTTAAATTGTTCTATTATTATGTATTTAGATTTCGGACGTAATATTTGAAGTAATAACAGAAATAGTGATTTTTCTCTGATGCGATTCCCGTGAAAACGACAGTGAAAATGATGTCTCCTGAATTGACGGCGCACCACACTTTTGTTAGAATATGTTCAATGCTCGAAGTATAGGCAACATAGATCCAAAATATGCATAATAAAACATGTAGTAAACTAGGCTACTCGTTACATTCGCCCACAAATAGCAAATTGAAATTTTAGACAGTTAAACCTCTGTAAAAAGGCTATACGGGAGGACGGGAAAAAGATTATAGACGAAAAGTTAACTTTATCCGGACTGTAAAGAACGTTATTGAGAATCACCAATATCACCCTATATCTCATAAATAGTTTATGGTTTAAAAAAAAAAAAAGAATATTCCTTACTTGTTTAATAGGTTTTAAGCTTGACAAGAAATGGCGTTTTGATGTTGAGTAGATAAGGTAACTCAAATTATACAGGTACTCAAGGGAAAATGTTGAGAAAATGAAAGCTCATTCACATATTTTTTATAATGCTTGTGACGTCGAAGATTTTGCTGCGCCGTGACTGAATGGTATGTCCTGAAAAATCACTCAAAATTTATACCAATTTACAACATTTTGATTTGAAATTTTGAAGACCATATAAGTAAAGATTCTTTTATATTATTTGTGAAATTTTGCCCGATTAATATGTCGTCAAATATTTCTTCTGTGCAACAAGTCCGCGTAATTTTTGAACGGCCCTCGTATAACTATGATTTATGTCACGTTTTCAGTTACGGTAAAGCTTCTCAGAATAATCAAAATTTGAGGGCGAGTAGTATCGAGAGACAGATAGATAATGAAGGTAGGGAATAACAAGAGTGTCATTATTTTTTTTAGAAAGGATAGGGAGATAACGAACAGTATTCACTTTAAAAGTCCATTTAACCATACAAATACGAGCAGAGCTAACATGGACCTCCGTAACATCAGAGGTCGGATCAGATTCTGTTGACGAGTGAGCATGTGCATTGTCAACCACATGTTACATGTGCATTTCTAATTACATGGTTAACGTTTGTACTGACAACCACCTGTTATACGTACTACGTACGTTCATGAACGCAGGATTTACAGGTTTATTATCAAGCACAATGGTCACATCAATGATGATCCAAACTGTTTAATCAAAAAATTGTAAACCAGAAAAGGCGTTCAGAATAGAATATACCCGATTGACTTAAAATTTGCAAAATTCATTTCAAAAGTATGATTCAGAACTCCTTTTCTAATACGCCTACAATATTATTTTATATTTACTTTTTATGTTTTCCTCAAATTTTAATAAACCCTACTTATATTTACGGTAATTAAAAAACTGAGGAAATAGCTTGTATAAAATTATATATTCATATTATTTATCCATATTTAAAACCTCTTAACCTTCTTTTCTAGTTAAAATCAACAATTCAGTTTAGTGCTTCTTCTATATAAATATCTGAGCAACGGTGATAAATTTTATGGTTTGTTTTCTTCCGCCTAAACCATCTAATCGCATCCCTTTGATTATCCCTCGTTCTTCTTTTTTTTTCAGGATTTATTTTGGGCATCAATTGCAAGTACTTAAGATGACATAAATTCAATCATCCTTCTGGTTAAAATCACCCATTCAGTTAAGTGCTTCTTCTGTATAAATATCTGAGCAACAGTGATAAATTTATAAGATTAAGATTTTACTATTTTGGTTTGTTTTCTTCCGCTTAAACCATCTAATTGCATCCTTTTGATTATCCCTCGTTCTTTTTTTTTCTAAGTATTTATCTTGGGCATCAATTGCAAGTACTTAAGATGACATAAATTTAATGTTTATTGAAGAACATATGTAGCTTTAAAATGTAAAATTATTTAATTCCCTTGTCTCAATGTTAATATGTACAAAACTCATATACTGATGAAAGAAAAAAGAATTGCCATTGAGCATACCTGTAATATGCGAAAAAGTTTTGACTACATGTATGTGGCTGAAAATTGTGAAATTTGGTCAGATGTGTATTACATGTACTTCGCTCTAAAATCGCTTGTTGAAACCACTCAACCATGAAATGGTGGCATCACGTAGGGAAGGTGATAAAAAAGGCAAAAACACGTGTAAATTGATGATTACAACTTTTTGATCACATTCTGTAGTGCCAAAAGATGCTTTAGTATAAAAGACATTGATTATCTATGTTTGCAGAGAGCAAAAGTTTCTTGAAATGATGGTATAGTTGACGGAAGTTGCATTGAGTTTAGAAATTAAATTGCATAAGTTAATAAAAAGGCAACATCATGTTACTGTTCCTTTTTAACATTTCATCCAAAAAAGATTTTTAGTCGTCAGACATTAACTTAAAATGTTTCCAACCAACCATGTCGGTGACGTTGGCGTGTAACAACATCTCATCAAACATGTCAAATAGGGCTTTACAACACGCCACCTCGATTATCATCAGTGCATTATAGCTTAAACCGATATTTATACCATTGACAATCGTTACATTCAACCTACAACTCTCCGTTCTAATTAGGTCCACGAGCTTGGCAACTTTAACGTCAATTTTACTCTCACTCGCATACGCACGCTTCGTATGCGTAATGTAATTATATGTTGCATGTTCACGTTAGGAAAATGTAGCCAATGTTTGTCAAGACTTTTTTTTCAAACATTCACGTGTACAAAAAATATCTGGATTCTATAAATTCTATCCTAAAACGAAATTTCGTGGCATTCATTTGACAGGAAGATTTGTGGCCTTTAGCATGTAACAGTTACTTTCAACCATTAAGGACAGATGATACAAACAATTTTTTTTCTTTGGAAAAGATTTAATATCATGTCACAAGTTTAAAAAAGTGGATGGTTCTTAGATTTTTGTCTCAGGAGAACTAGACAATGAAATAGACTTGGAAAATGTTAGTAATATTTCAATAAAAAGAACAAATATAAACAAATCACATTCAGTAAAGGTTAACAGGTGAAAACAAATTTCAGGATATATTACCTTGGTGCTAAAAGTGTAATATAAACTTTAGAATAATATACAAAGCCAGGTGAATTTTCAGAGGAAGATCAAAATGAATACTATGCTCAGGAGATTTAATGTCGTTACTGATGCGCCTGTGCATAGAGTCTTTAGATTATTAGAGAATTTATTTATTTATTTTTTTTTTTTTGGGGGGGGGGGGTATCGACATATAAATGTCAATAACTCATGAATTATCAGTCAAAATCACACACGATTTTTGTAACTTGTTGATTTAAGATGAATTAAAACCAATATTGAAATGATTTTGGAAATAATAGTTTTAATTAATTAATTGAAAAGTTGATTAGGCGTTTCTTTTATATTTCAGTATATATTACATTGATTTCATATTATGTATATATTAAGCATAAATATGACTGTACAACTCATATTTTATATTTATTCTTGCACTGTATAAAAGTATGTCAAAGGAAGACACTCATCAAAAACATTTCTATCGAGTTGAGTGTACATTACTAGCTGGTAAACAATTTGTGAGTATATACAAAAGTACAATTAATGTTAACAATTTACAAAATGTATGAACTTGACGTGTACTTGTCTGATGATAAACATAGAAATTATCATTTTCAGCACTAAAAATAAATAACTATGGTGTTAAACAAATAAAATGCACTTTTACATTTTACAGGGCCGCCTTGTTATACATATTATAACAAGTTCTGCCTACTTATACCGTATGTAAATCATTTAGATGTCAAAAAAGGGACCTTTCTTTGAAAAAAAATGGAAAAAGGAAGGAAATAGACAAAATCCCTACTTGTAATGAATAAATATCATCCAAAAAGATATACATCAAAATAGTTCAGTGGTCCACATGGTACTTGCACATATATAAAAATGCAGTTTAGTTGAAATACATCTGAAAGCTGAGCTAAACTGGGAATAAAAGAATCAGAATCATCCCAATGCACTCTTCAACTGCCTATATTCTTCTTTCTAAAAGAATGATCTTTTCGCTCGTCGGTCTCTTTGTAATACTGCATTTTACAATGTCGCAACCATTATATTCGAGTTCAGTGGATAATATTCAGATTATCAAGGACCTGCGTACCCTTCAAGCAAACATGGAAGCACAGATCACAAAGATGATTAAAGGTTTGTATAAATATGTATATATGTATATTCCTTGTTATTATTATTTTCATTATTATAATTACATTAGAAAAGCATTTCAAAAATGAACGATTTGTTACAAATCAAGAGGTAAAATTAGTCATTTTTATATTAATTATCAATAAGGAATTAAGATATTAAATTTTTCAAGAAAACCTTTAAGAAAACCTTTTTGATTGACGACATTTTACATTATGTTATTTCTGATAATTTTTCACTGTATTATTCTTCTCAAAACCTTTCAATTATTTTCTAGAGCAAAATTCTAAACTCCTACAAATAGAAAAAAAGATGCAAAGTGATCTTGCAAATCTGGAAAACAGAGTAAAAAATATCACAAAAGGTAAATATTCAGTTTATTTATTGCTTCGGATTTTTCTATCTACCTTGAAATTGTTGACCGGGAGTCTAAGGTTTGATTTTCGTTCGCGGCGCAGCGATTTGCAGCTATCCACCGGCATTTAGTGGCGTCTATTAGTAAGAAATTATCAAGAGGGGGTTAAACAATATACAATTAATAAAATTGTGTTCAACTTAACATAAAAATTGTTAATTTTAATATCCTTGCTAAGTAAATTTCTTTGGGCTATAAATATTTCAACATACAAACAATAAACTACTATTAGTATATTTTTAATCAGGATTATGCGATAAATATATTGATTTTATAAAAAACCATCTTCATGATTAAGTTATTTTATAGCTCTTTAACAGAAAGTTTTAGCATTAAACTGCAATAACATGAATATGTACTTAAAGAAAATTGTTATTTGTTTGTTTCTGATTCAAAACTATTTCCATTTTCTCTACTGATTTCTTGATCAATCCATCGGATTGTAAATTTCTCCAAGAAATAAGCAAGGAGCTAAGGAGGCCTAATATGTATAAATATACTTTTCAAAAAAAGAAATGCGTAGTAGGAACAATGCCCTGAAAAATGTATGATAGTTTTGTTATGCCAAAATTTTTATCTCAATTTTCATTTTTTGAATCCCGATGTAATTCCTTCAGGTACCTTAAAGGTAATTCCTTCAGGTACAAAGGGGCTATCAAAAGCGGGGGTTCTCGATATTTTGAATCTGGTTTTATCTGAAAAATGACGCTTCCTAAAAATGCTGCATCTGAATGTTGCGTAGCACAAAAAGGAAAATGGACGACTGGAAGCAGGGGTACCTGCAATCTTCAATTGTGATAGGTCTCAATGCTACACATAGAACATATATAACTTATAAAACATAAACCATTAACATTGAACACCCAATATTCGCAAAAAATATGGTAGACTACGTGTGACATCAGCAGCAAAGCATCACTTCCGAAGATTACGTAAATTGCATGAATGTAATGAAAGGACGTCATCTAAAGTATTAGCTATGCCTGAACTGCACAGATCATCTAAAAAGACCGTTTTCAGTTATCTACGAATTATTGCAAGAGGATTATTCATGCCATTGTTCCGACCCCACAACACACCAAATATCGACTTCAAAGATTTCAGATCAATAGAGTATGACCACAGCATCACTGCTGAACATTTTGGTTAACCTACTAGTCCAGAATGTTTATCTGAATACCTTTTATAAGTTTAAGACTGCGAATGCTTTGTAATGAATGTTAGACATATAACTGCCTCCAGGACGTTAAAAAAGTTGGTGGCGGTAGTGTAATGATATGGAAAACGGTATTATAAGAAAGTAAGATTGACTTGGTTCAAATTCAATGAACTTTGATGGAAAAAGGTACTCGAACCAGGTTCTACCTGCACATACCCATTCAATTTTGCAGCATCCTAGAGCCGTATTGCAATCTCACAATACACAACCAGATATGGCTCGTTTGACACACCTATTCTTGCAAAGAAACAACAACCTGTTTCAGCCACAGTCATCTAAATCGCTAGATTTAATCAAAATTGAGCAGTATTAGAAAAAATGGATTGACATGATTTTCTAAAGACAATCGCATCCTCAGACTTTGCAACAGCTGACCAAAGTTCTACATTTGGAGTGTGAGAGTATTCCTATACAGATTTTATTACACACATTTGCTTCCATTTGATGCCGTTTGTGGCTATCACTTGTGTCTGCGGGGGGCATGTCAGATATTAATCTTTAGTTGTCTTAAACTGACTATAATTTTAACATTGTTGAGTAATTATGACATTTAGATAGTATTCCTGTTTCTTACAACAATTCTGTTTTATTAATGCATCATTTTACTAAATAATCTTTATGTTCAATGTATCACTTAATTTCTACTATGCGTTTATTTATTTATTTATTTTTTTTGAAAAGTATATATGAAGATAAAAAAAGTATTCAAATTAGCAATGCAAAAAAGCAACAAAGCAAACATGCATCTCAAAAACATCAGAGGTGGGATCAGGTGCCATAATTAAGTGAGCATCCCCTGACGACCAGTCACACCAGCCGTGAATGTTCCTTGTCGTGTGACTGTATTCTGTTTGACGTTAATATATGGGCACTATTAAAATGGTGTAGGAGTCCTCCTGTAATTTAAATCTATTTAAAATAATTCTCAAAACTTGATTTATAATTTCATTTCACAATGAAATTGAAATAAAAGGAATATATACCTAATAAGAAGTGTATGCCAGGAACATCTAGTTGAAAACATGGTTTTATTTATGCATCAAAGGGTTTGTAAACTAAAATAAAAAAAAAACTATGAAAAATTAAGCGAAATAGGTCAGATTTTGTAGTTTACAAAATAGCACAAAAACTTAGAAAAACATTCAAATTCAGAATTGTTAAATCATTTCATATATTCCAACTTTCAAACTAAAGTGATACTGTGGTGAACAGAAATACTTAACATATAAACGACAATCCTCATTGAAAAAAAGAAATACAAGGGAGAATGTCACAAACTACCACTTGAAGATACCATTACGCCTGTATTCATTTTAACTTAAAATAAAAACTCTGAAAAATTGGTGAACGCAGAAAACATTTTAAAAACGAGATGTGTGTGCGTTTCAATGGCGCAGGCGAAGAATAAGGACTCTGTATTAGGCTAAGGATCTATCAGGAAACAGAGTATCTTAAAAATCGTTAAAAGCTAGCGTGGTTGTTGGAAGAGCGCTAAATCACGGTTGATGATCTTATGTTTTAAAAAATGATATGAAATAAATTTACAACAGGAATAGAACTACCGGAGAACAATAAGCAAAATATATTTTAAGTGAAAAAGAATTACATGTATTTCAATTAGTTGATTGAAACATATTGTCTGAAGTGTAAATAGAGAGTATTTTTGAGAAACTGAAGAAGGTATGTGTTAAATGCTGCAATGTAATATGTTGACTTTGAAATTCATTGACATTATTTCCTTAAAATAACATAAAATTCAACCTGATATATTTACAAAAAGAAATCTGTACATAGGATTGTATATTTGATGATATCCTCATTATAAATTTTTGAGATATTACACTTGAGATAAAATTATGTTCCGTGTCCTTTCATTGTATGAATACAAGTATCTTACCAAAACAATTTTTTTTCAGGAATTATATTTTCTTAAATACTAGAGAGTATCGAAGCACACTGAACTCATAAAACTAGAAAAATACGTTTCAAAAGCTATATATTTTTTTAAAGATTGAAATTACAATCAATAGCCGTAAAATGGTCAGAAACAATTCATGGAGTATACCATTAGTGCATATCGTATACTTCTTATCTTTCTGTTTTTCTAACATTTAGATATGGCGAGAAAATCATGTCCATCAAACTGGACATCATTTGGATGTTCTTGTTACAATATCATAGCACAGGAGAAGTCGTGGGACAATGCAAACGTAAGCATCTTCTCTTTCAACTTAAAATTAATAGTAGTTAGATTAATGTCAAAGCTATTTGAAAACAGTTTTCAGTACTTCAATAACTCCATAATACTGATGATTACCTGGTAAGCAATTATAACCTACCGAATATTTGGTAACAATTTCGTTAATACATTGATTGTATGTAATATTTGGCCACAGAATGTTCTTTATATCTCATCAAAACATAGGATTCACAGTGAGTTTGATAGGTTTACCTCTAGTATATCATGAACACCTGATACCCCCCCCCTGAGATTTCTGGGTTAGGACAGATGATACACCATTTTATTTTTATCTTTGGATAAGAATTATGCCTTATTCACACGTTTAATTTGCAGTAAACTTATGCAAATCAAAGTAATAGGAATCTAATTGCGTTTACACGACAGCGCAGTAAACTAATGAAAATTAAAATTATACTTCTAAAGTCAGGCGTCAGTAAGGCTATTGTGACGTCATTTTCAAATAACATCTCCTTAAGTAGAAGCAGACGCGCGCATTTGACATAATGTCACAGTGTCTGTACACAAATTTTTGTGATTAACTCAATTTCTCTTAGTTCTTCAGTAAGAATAGTACAAGTCCCTAAAACTGACCACCGACATGTGGCATTTAACTTAATTTTGCCATTACGCATGCCAAAAAATTTAATTCGAATTAGTTTCGTTTAGCGTACACACGGAGCTGATGCAAAATAATTTAATGCACAACCAATTCATTTGAATTCAATTATTAGCAACTCTATCTCTGAACGCGGTTCAGATTTAATTTTCAGTAACTTAAGTTTAGTTCGAATTTAACTCTCCGCAAGAACAGGGCTTTAAACTCATGTTACTGGTTTGGAAAATGTAAAATTAAATATTTTATGATTTTTCCCTTCTTCTCTATACCAGTGACGAATTCTCAGATCTTCCAAAGAATAACCATCTGTTATTAAATGAACTTTGTAGATGGAGTGTAAGCAGTTTGGTGCAAAACTAGTCGAAATAGAAACAAAGGAAGAAAACGATTTTCTGAAACAAAGAATCAGCATATATGATGACGAGTCTCTGTCATATCATGAATACAGTGAGCATTTTAAAGTCAGATCTCCCGTAAAATGTATCTTATTTTTGCAATATGTCATGTAACATTCTATTTGAATTACCTTAAAGAGAAATTCTGGATCGGTGGAACAGACAGAAACAGAGAGGGAAGTTTTTTCTGGGCCTCTACCGGAAGTTCCTTGACGTTCACGGACTGGGACAGAGGAGAACCCAATGATGAAGATAGCGTTGAGGACTGCATTGAAATCTCCACATTTCAAACAAGAACCGGGACATGGAATGACAACAACTGTGCCTTAAAATATCATTACATTTGTGAAAAATCTTGTTAATATCTGAAAAAAAAATCAATGCATTCTATGTCGTCAAAAATAACATAAAACTTGAACAATTCATCATAATGTATCGAACCTCGGAAGATGGTTTTTTTCAAGGAAAAAATGCAACATTAAGCTTTTATCTAACTTTTTTGTGTACATCAAAAAGGACGTTTTACATTGATTACATTCAAACATTAATGCCTGTTTATCTATTCATTTTCATTTTCATGTTGCATGATTTTTTAAAAAATTAAATTTATGGTTATAAATGTAATGTAGTTGTAAGTTGAAAGTTGTAAGACTTTTTAAGCCTTTGAGGTTGTTTAACGTCCATTTCAAGAAGCTTTCACTCATATTGAGACGTCAAAGTTTTCGTTTCTGGACTGCAAAATTAGATCCACACTCAGAACTCCTGCAGTGGGGTTCAAACCCGGAATGTAGGGATCAACTCGATGGGTATTACTACAGCAAAACTCTCCACTAGATCAGACTTTTAAATTTTATGTAAACGCTCTATTTAATGTATGGAAGAATAATGAAAATTACAGAGAGGGATCTAAAAAGTCAAAAGCAAGGAATATAACAGACGGACTGACTGAAGGATCGCCCACAAATAGTGACAGAGATGATGTTGAAGAAATAGTAAAATTTATTGGCCTGTAAGCTGATAGTAATGCAGATTGTTTGAGCAGAACTACTTCAAAAACTATTGACGGGTTAAATGTTCAGTCAAAGAAAAGGCTGACACTCCCAGATGCACCTAAATCTTCAAATAGAAGTTGTTGATGCATGTATGTATAGTTCTTGCATAATTATAGAATGTATATACTACATGTAGGAATTTTATAATTCATAAGAGATTGATTATGACGCTCTACTTCAAAGATAATTCAGGCGTTAAATGTTGAGTAAAATATTATGTAAAAGAAAAGGCTGACACACCCGAATACACCTTAGTCTGAAAAAAAGCTTGTTAAATGATGTAAATAGTTCTGACATATATATAACGTGTGAGTACCCGTTATTGCCGAAATTCAACACTTTTTCCCAATTTTTTTTAAACGAGATATACCGTGGTTAATATATCTATACTTATTTCTGCAATACTGATTTACTTTGATGATACAATGATTTGATTTGAAATAAACCCTTTCAACTTAAAATAATCGTCTAAAAATATACCTAAGGTCATGGCTCTTGGTAACAGGAAGTCGAGTACCCATTATTGCCACTTAGATCTGTTCTGAATTATTTGGTAATAATTTGCTATAATTCAAAGAAGAAAACGAGTAAAAAAGAAAAAAAGACAAAAAATCTTATTACATCAATGATAAACCATTTAATCGATGCGACATGCTTAAATATTTATTTTTCTCAATGTCATTGTCCACGAATCATGCGCAGAACGTATTTCCTGTCTGTGAAAGAAAGCACATGTTAATCTTCAAGAAAGCAGCGGCACTCCTGGCAGAAGGCATCTGTTGCTCAAAATGCCTGATAATTCTCAATGCCCTGGAAGACGTTGTGGTACCGTTTACCACAAAGTTCACACGAGCACCAACCCTCGTTGACTCTAACACTGGTACTCGTACTGTACACGGGGCCTCTCTGCTTGTACAAAACGAACAAATAATCGATTCGTCATCGATGTCAACAATGGCGGTTGTTTCTTCTGCGACATGAAGGTATCTCTGTTTTGATTTTAGTTTTTATGAGGCTGGAAAAAAAATAGGAATATGTGATATACAGTATTGATCGGTACTAACAAATAATTTATCATTAACAAAAGAGTACTGTAATATTTATTTAAGACCTTTGGTTTTTTAGGTTGTCTCTTAGGCCTGGATAAAACTGGCAGATCATCATGCAGATCATCATGCTCACTCTCAATTTGAGTTGGAATGGGGAATGATTCGTTAGAGTTGGTGATCTGAAACAGGTAATAAATAACTATAATAAATGCATATTTTTCTATCTTGTGTTCAAAATAAAGCAATCTGTCCATTATTGGCACACACCAATCCCTAGGTATGTGGTGTTAAGAGTCAACTACATGATATCAGATGTTGAAGGTGTGATCATTCGGATGAGTTTTATGTTTTTGTATTCACATCCCGTCTGTTTTTCCTTATACAATTCATGAGAAGTCCACGGCATTCAATTTCTATAACACATGCAAAACCTTGTCACCGCGTGTTCGAATGCACAGTAGGAACTATTTGCAGTTTCTATAATCTAGGAACACCAAAATGTATAATGTGTTGACTCAATTTAATCAAAACCTATCATCCTGTTAAATTAACGTAAAATTACTACAAATGTGAGTTTAAAATTAATTTGACACTTTTTCCCTCGCAATGTTTGTTTGCGTTATTTTACTTTGCAACGTCATCTGACGCCACAAACGGCTCTTACATCTATCAACCCCGTCAGTTTTTGAAGGGCGCTAAATTCACATAAAAGATTAACGAAATCAGTAATTATGAAGCAGGAAAATTGGAGAATGTAAATATAAGCATTGAATTCATATTTTTGGCTGTCTTCGGTTCTATAACACACCTGGCCGTGCCGACAAATTTAATTACGCGCGGTATTCAATTTGTCGGCACGGCCAGGTGAGTTATAGGACCAAAGACAGCCAAAAATATGAATTCAATACTTAAGTATAATCAGCTTAGATTTGTAGTTGGACATGGTTTAATCAATCATGGTGTGTTTCCTTATCTCCAAACCTTGGCGAGGGAATAAAAACATGCAAGTTTAATGTAAATTATATCCAACAACAAATCATGGTAAATTCTTTTAATATACCTTTTTAGCTTCATTAACGAAGTTTTACATTGTTTTAATCATATCGTATTCGCGTAAAATTAGGGGAAAATACCTTAATTCTATGGAACCTAATGTAATTTTTAGCTTGAAAAGGAAATATTATGAAACAAACTTTTTGCTTTCTCTTCGTGGCTTTTTTTTTGCTGTCGACTTTGTTTTCTCTGCTTTCTTTGCTGCTGCTTTCTCTGCTGCTGCTTTCTCTTTCATCTCCTTTTGCAATTTTTGTTTTCTCACTCCTCCTCCTCTTTCTCTTCCAACTGTTGTAATATTTCATTTCTTGTTGTCGTATAGTTTAATTTTATGAAATTTGTACTGATAAACTCACAGAGCAGATAGAGAACGACAAATCAACAGATGTATATATGATTATATCAATATCTGTAAATGACTTTGTGTGCTCCAAAGATAGAAGATTAGGAAAATGTTCCCCCGTCTTTAAAAGCATTGGTTTTTTTTTATTTCATTAGAAAATGCCACCTACTCTTGTGGTAATTTGTTTTATGAAACACTTTTTCAATGTTTATATTAAAAAAGATATTTAAAAAAGAATACCTCTAGATTTTGTGACAATCCTCCATTTCTTTTCAGATGGCTTGTTGAATATGGGCAAAAACACATCGGATAAGTTGGATTGTATGAGGCCTTGTTGAACTAATGGGTTTTCTTTGATAAAGTGGTCAAATGCATGACACAGTACAGATGTTGCACAACTGCTGGAACTGCTGAAATCATATTTATGAAATGAAAAGTGAAGTGAGTAAATTGTATATTGCCAAAAAGAGGAAGTTTTATTTAAAGAGGTAAATTGCATCATTATTTAATAGAAACGATTTTGCTCAGGCCTTTTGTGTTCATCAAACACATTGTATAAACAGTTATCATTAAAATTCTTCTGGATAATTTATTTGCCGTTATATTAATTTCTTTTTATTCATTTATAACACGGAAGACTTTCTTGTAAATAACTTGGTCACCTTGCTTTTCTATTAATTCAGATGAACACTTTGGAGCAAGCTGCTTGTGATCAATGGCATCTGAATTCAACGGGAAAATCCCAGTTTTCCGGAAAGCTTCCTTGATTGCGTGAGGAGAAAAAAATCTTGTCAATCGCAGTTGAGAGAACAGGTGCAAATCTAATAAAAACATAAATGATTGAACAAATATAACATTTCTGTATTCTCAAAAATGCAAGCAGATATAAACAATAATTAAATAATGAAGCAATTTATAAGCAGAACTTACTTAGCCTTTCCAATAATCAAGTCTTTTCTTGCATATCCAAGATTCATCGCAAGCTCAGAAAACTTGGCCTTCAGGGGACGGAAGAGACAGACGTTAAGAGGTTGGGTGATTTGGGTCGTGTGTGGAGGAAGCCCGTGCAGTTCTACATCTTCCTCTCTAGCCTTCCTAATTAATTTTAAAGACAAGTGACTCTCTTGATTATCCAGAATTAATACTGCTTGTCTCACGTGACAGTTCGGAAGAAATATGAACTCAAACCACTTGTAGAAAAGGTCTTTATCCATATAACCATTTGTCAAAGTTCCAAACAGTCCTTGGGTGAACCTAAATATTCAATATTGATAGTTGATTTTTCTTTATGAAAATAATATGTATTTTTTAATTTTTTTCAATTATGAAAGGAATTCATTTTTTTAATATTACAGTAGTATACAGTATATGTTTAGTTTTTAAGTTCACCTGAGTTGTCAAATAAGGCCAACATTAAAATATTTTTGTTTGATGTACTCTGACTCACAATTTTCAAGGTGGGTAGGTAGGTACGTTTTTTAATACTGTTTTGCAGTATTGGACATAACTGTAATTGTTATAAAAATCAAAGACTCAGGAATTTATTGATGTTTTCATTCCTCATGGGATTACTATACAGAATAATAACAATATGCAGATTAATTTGATATTTATTGCTATGAGAATTTCAATCAAAAGCATCCTACGAGGGAAATTATATTATGGAATGGAAAATATAAATAAGAAATTTAAAATGCTGAATAAAAATTTTGGGTATGGCTGATTTTGACAGGTCGGTTGGAGTACACCAAACAAATATTTTTTTTATTGTTGGCCTGAGCTTTTTTGATCGAATTTTGTTTGTCTATCTGTATATTTTAACACTTACCTATAAAGTCACTTGATTAATTTTAACGAAACCACAATTAATCAAACATATGCCAAAACTTCAGAATGAAAGAGGGGGCTAAAAGTTGGTTTGATATCAAGAATAAGGTTGGTACTTCAATATTGGGAATAACAAAAAAATGATCACGTTAAAATAATTGGTAAGCATTATGACCAAATGACATTGTTGTAGATTCATCTCTCAAAGATACTGAAATACAGATCTCCACATTAGCACAAAGCACAGTCTCTGTGCTAGTGTAGAGATCTGTATTTTAAACAAAATTCCTTAGCTCTTGATGTTCTTTTCACTCAGGTGAGCTTTGAAACCACAAGAATCCTAGTTTTTCTTTTTATTTTGTTTTAATTTGAACATTAACTTTATATCTGTTCACCTTCGCTATATGTTCCACTTGGAAAACTGCTTTCATAAATGACAAATGTAGGAAGTACCGTTTCACTTGCTGAATTGCATATGTTTGCAGTGATATGCTAGTGGTATAAATATTACGAGTGTAGTTGTGTTTCCTGGTCTTGTTTTTCAAAACCTTTTCTCTGCTTTCCGTTTTACCAAAACCTGTCTCATCAACATTGAAAATGTTTCCAGGTTTTCCTGTATGCATGAAGCCAAAGAAAAATTATTTTGTGGAATTGTTTAGAGTCATCAGTTTATTAATTTTGGAAGTATATTTCAAAGCATTTTCTATATTTTGTTTATTTAGGTACAGTTTTGAATGCAATAGGTTTAGAAATTAATTCAATGAAGCTTCTTATTTTGGAATTTGTAAATTTTAGGGGAAAAAAGAAGTCATGAAACTTGCATTTTCTACCATATTTTGTGCATCTTATTTTCAACAGATAAACTTTTCAGTTTATGTAAGCTGGTTGCTGAAATTTAGTTATTCTCTTTTCTTTAATTCATTTTTTTTATTTTACAACTGATCTAGCATCCTGTACCAGATTATTCATTGATATATAAAGTTGTTTTGCATTCTTTCAAAAAAAAAATTCAGGTTAATTAAAAAAAAAGGTCCTTACCCAAATTTTTTAGGCATTTCTCAAGCAATTTGAAGTGTTCGGTCATGACTGTTTCATTGGCCATACCATATGTGCCAATGTCTGAATTTCTCTTCAAGAAACTCCTGAACCACTTGTTTGATGGTCCTTTGCAAGTGTTCACTGTTGTGTTTGCATTTTGGTTCATTCTAATAATTTCTCTTGCAAAAGCCTGTTGATTAATATTATTTTTCTCAATTCTGTTGTTGTTTTTTGTTTTGTTTTTTTAAATTATGATTGTTTTCCTTTTTAACTTTGAACATGTGTTACATGTATATTCATCATTTTCATTGCTTTTGTGTAAATTTGAATGCTCGTTTTTCGCATGTTTGCCCTTGGTTCATAATAACTTTAAGGAAAGGAATTTCGTTTTAGATTTTCACCTTTATCATTTTTCTTGCAAGAGGAAATGCCCTCTCTGCACAATATTTAATGTATGCAACAAGGTTGTCCTTTTGTACTCGACTGAGGCATCTCATGGGATATCCTTTGAGCTGATTGGCAAGTCTGTACCACATTGTCCGCACTGGGATGTTGTATTTGTTGGCTGCTTGTATTACTGATTTATAATATTTTGCATCTATGGCTTTAATAAATCTGTATTTGAGTAATTTTTTTTTCTTTTCCGCATCTTGATATAAAATAAATTAAATTTAAAGCTTTTGTATTTGTGTATTTCTTTGTAATAAAAGATAGATAATTCTTTCAGTTAAAAAAAAAGTGGAGCAGTTCATTTTATAGGAGTAACGCTACTTTTGATAAAGGCAGATTATTTGATTCACTTCCGGTTGGAGAGAAAAAATGGCGAGACGTTGACATTGAGACTAAGTGAAGTTTAAACATTATATGGAGGTATTGAGACATTTAAAGAAATGTTTTTATAATGGATTTTCACTAAGTTGGTAGTTTTCTTGCATTTCACCTTTAAAAGCTGATGGTTTTACTAAAAAATTATGTTTTAAAAGAATTTGCAGGAAAGCATGTGCTGTCGCATGTGTCGTAATGGCTGTGTATTGTAACACTTACCTTTTATAATGCTAAAATCTTTCACTTTGATGAGGAAATTTCTCAGGCAGTTTATAATGTTTGCATAAATGACGTTATTTATATTTTTTACGTCATAATCAATAAATAACAAAGATTGATTGAGTTTTTATTGTTTTTATTGAAAACGGCAATAATGGGTACTCGCACGTTCAATGTGGTAGTTTAAATCTATAATAATAATAATAATTCTTTTATGAATTTATTCATTTTGGAACCTTTTTTTCGTTTCATCTAAATATTTTTATCCTAAATTTCATTCGTTCATAAGATATTATCCAATAGTTTTAATTTAATTAAGTAACCGTTCAAACTAAGCAAAATCGGTAGTATCAAATTTTAAGGAAGAAATTATGTTCAGCTGATATCCGATGAATCTTGTGGAATGTAACTTTCATATCTAATAATTTTTTACTTCACTATTTAAGATTTGGGTTTGACAAATTGCAAAGTTGATACTTTATCGTATTTTTGAAATCGAAGTTGTCTAAGTAAATTCTTATATTTTGTCTGTAAGTTCAAAGCTCATTTGCTAAAGAACATTTTTCTTTCTTAAATATGTAGGCTGAATAAACGGTAACTTATTGTCAATGTTTAGGAAACTATATGTAAATTGAATTTTTTCTAATGTGTTCTTTGTATTTGTCATAGGTCAATGCAGTTTGTCCATAGACGCAATAAATAAATTGGATACCACCATCTTATTCATCATTTTCCATTAACTGCTTGGTTATATTAAAAAAAATGTAAATATTACATGTAATATGACTATAATTCATAACAAATCTTGTTCAATTTGATTTCCTTTCCCTTGTCTTCGATTTAGTAATAAAAGTAATATGATTTATTGTTGTAATTTTTTTTCATTTTACAAACTTTGTAACTGTTACCTTCAGAAACACATAATGATTGATCTTTCTTAAAATCTTTCACTTTCAGGAATACACAGGTATTTTATATATGAAATACCCAATAAAACGTTTAATTTTCATTTTCCTCAAACTATAGCGGGCATTAGATAGGATTCCTTATGATTTTACTCACGGTACGGGGGTCTTTATATCCTGACAAATGAAAAAGGAATAAGAGGGGCTCTTATAGGGACAGGGGTTATAAATAGGGATTATACGGTACGAAGAACATTCGTTCACAAATGCCTTGTTTTATACCGACCTAAAACCCATTCCACACAGTATCATGATTTTTTTTTTTTGGGGGGGGGGGGGGTAACTGACGATTTTGCAGCAAATTTGCATTTTTTCTCAATAGTTGCGCCTGGTTTATGTTTTCCAGTATCAGAAAAAATGTAGTGGGTTTCTTCAGACATGGCCAAAAAAAAAACCCGAAAAAACGTGACTTTGACATAAAAAAGTCGTAGACTCTTCGATAATTTTTTTTCTTACAGCCGTATATTTTTTGATTTACGAAATGCCATATGCATACGTAAACAAACAAGCCCATTTCCTAGCATCAATAATTATCGCATAGCCTTCTCTAGAGGGCTCATGATCACTTCTTAGAAACACTTAAATATCATTGTGAATTGAACAAGATCTCTCTCTCTCTCTCTCTCTCTCTCTCTCTCTCTCTCTCTCTCTCTCTCTCTGTGCGTGTGTCTGAGGGTGTGTGTTTGAGCTGTGAAATGTGCTAAGCTTAAAATTAAAGATATTGATATATTCTCATTATATTTTTTTCATCAGGGTTATAGGGTGATAAATAATTTAAGTCAAAAGACGATGAAAGATTGAAAATAAAGAAGTCTACACTTTGAAAGTCTTTAACCCCTGTGCCCGTTGGACACCCTTCAGAAGTAAGTGCTGTGTGTGTGATGGTGTGTGAGTGTGTGTGTTACTACTTCTACATTAACCATATTTTACAATTTATTGCATAGCCCTACTTGATCTGAAATTGAGAACATTCATTTAAAATTTATTTAAAATACGAAAATTTATATTTTTCATCACGATTTTGTTAAAACTCTGAATTCAAGATATTGTACTGAAGTTTGTATATAATACCTCTTTGAACATCTATGCATTTGGTAATCATGCTCGAAGGAAATATGTATTTTGCAAGATTGTTTTGTAAAATTCAATGAATTCATTACATGTGTACGGATATAGCAATGTCAATTCATTATCTTGTAAAGTTCTATGGTTGATGCAATAAACTTGTCGGCCAATAAAATTGATCATTGAGTTAAATGCTGACTTACATTTTTCATACTTATTTTAGTCTATATTTCATACACTGAATTGACAACGGATTTTTTTCGTTATTTCCCGATCATTACAGGGAGCTCACAGTTGGTGTGACCAGTTGGCAGGGATGCTCTCTTTTCCACGGTGCCTAATCCCACTTCTGATGTTTTGGAGGTCTGTGTTTGCTCTTCTCCTAATTTGTAATGTTTTATAGACTTTGAATACTGTTTGTTTTCTCCATATATTTCATAAAATCCCCAGAACTTCGCTCTAATGGGATATTATGGTAGTGATATAATAGAATATAATAATGCAATTTTAGGAGAATTTCAAAAGTTATTACAGCATTATTAAAATATATACTTCGCAAACACATTGAAATGTAATTTCAGTTGGTTTTTTTAAGAACTGTTGCAATTCTTCAGTATTCTCCCTACATATTGAAACGTTTCTACAAGTTATAGAACAATATAGTGCCCAATCAGTATGGCAGATATAACCATTACATATAAGTATATTGTGTCTTTTTCTCGATTTACAAAGATGTGTCATCTCACGAACACTCTTAAAAAGAGTCATTTTAAGAGTCTAGCTTAACAATGAACATATATGATCACGTAGCATATCAGAGTACTTTTATTATGTGTAAAGTACAATGTTTGTGCGGGATTTTGACGCACCGTTTTACAGTAATAATTATCATGCAAACACGTTTTTGGTTAAACTTTTTTACGATTTGACAATTGGGCAATGTATTAACTAACCAGGTTTTACAAACTGAAATCAGCTACTTACACAGGATTTTAATTCTTAAAAAGTAATGTAAAAAATATAATAAACACTCAGATGGCAGATAAATTAGAAAAAAAATATATTTAGCCGTACAAAAGAAACAGTACACAATAAAAACAGGAAAAAGATAAATGCAATATCTTCATTTTACATAATGATTTTAAATTCTGAAAGGACTCTTGAATAACAGCGATTAAATGAAGGAAGTCTATGTCAAACGTTTTCTACTTGTTGTGAGTAATACGTCACATGGGCTATATCATAGTTCCCGTGGTACTTGTATATGTAAGTACTTTTTGTTAGAAATACATTTGAAAGCTAAACTAAATTGAGAATAGGAAAAATCTGAAAAAAATTGCGATCGACTTTTCAACTGGTCATACATGTATTCTCATGTCTGTCAAAATGATCTTTACAGTTATCGGTTTCCTTGTTATTCTTAGTATGACAAAGGGACAACCTTTATATAAAAGTTCAATTGATAACGATAATATTGGAGTATCCACCGAGGTGAATATGAGAGACTGGCGCATCTTTCAAACAAATATGGAAGCTCGGATCACAAAGGCAGTGAAAAAGGAAATATCTGACAATAAAGGTAAATTTAGTAAGCATAACTGAATAAAAGAATCATTCCAAGAATGAACATGATAACAAGTAACTGGATCGTACATTTAACTTTATCTGTTATCAGAACAGATTGTTAAATATGACTATAAAAATAGTATTAGATGATAAAAAATTAATGTTTGTTAATCTTCAAGATGTTTCCTAGTCATATCTTAATGGGATTATTTAACAAAAACAATGATTTATTTTACAGCAGCATACATTAATTAATTATTAGTTTTAAACTTTTCAAAATAAGTAGTTGCGTTTCTTTATCACTCGTTAATTGCTTGGGACAATATTTACATTCGCTGTGTTTTTCAAGTAAGCTTACTGTGAAATCAATTTGAAAGCATTTTCATGTATACTCACGCGTCGAAATTTACACGGAGACACGTGAGTTAACGTGACGTCACAATGAGAGTGCATATTTTAAAATGCAATTATATAGGACAGCGAAAAATTCAAATATTTTTTTAGTTGCCTCCAAATAGTTAAAATGTAAATATAATTAATTTTTCAGTTAAGTTGAATTATTTTTCAAAACACAGACTTGCACATAGGCATATTTTTCATGAAAGATGCCTACTCATCATATTCACACACCAATAACTTACACAAAACTAGAAAACAATCCTTAAATACAAAACACAATGAAATTCATTAAAAGAACTACCCACATATAGGTAAATGAAAAAGAAACATGATTCTTTTTAACAATTGAGGTATTTTCTTCCAATTGATAACATTATTTTAATTTTTACAAAAGTTTTCAATAAATGTCATTGTGTTAATATGCACCTTTGACATAAGCGGGTTATATGCTTTATCAATAAAAAAAAAAATGGAGGTATGCACGTTACAAAAGTAACATATTCAACTAGAAATGATTTATTTTCTAAATGATTGAATATTCACTTTCCTGTTTCAGCATACTAGATGCATATAAGTAAGCATCTGCAGCAATTGCAGCCTTCTACAACTATTTTTCGGTATCTTACAGCATACATACATTTGAGATGAGTGGAATGCTTATTTTGTAAATAAGAAATTTTAAGAAATGTGAAACTACATATAGTAAGAGCGACGAATTTACATTTTTTTTCTGTAAATGTAACAACTTTTTGTTATGATTGCGTCTTGAACTATTTTAATAACAGCGTAGTGATGATAAAATGTTGTATCACAAGAAACTGAGCGTATGTAAAATAAAACTGAGCAAAACTGAGTATAAGTGATTATTAAACAACAATAGTGATTTAACAACAGGCAACTGTTATCGTGTCATGTGACATTTGACATGTGACTTATATCATTTGACACGTGACTTACAGCATTTGAAATGTGACTTATCATATTTGTCATGTGACCTAGGGCATTTGACATGTTATTGTACATATGAAATTTCTATATACTTTAAACATAAAAATACATTAATATATATTATTTTATTTTTTTAAATTCATTATGTATAGCATAACTTTTCTTCATCATTCAGAAAACAAACAATTAAAAAACCATATTTATGCTATTTTTAGAACCAGACATAAGACTTCTCCAAATAATAGAAAGGATGCAAACTGAACTCACAGAACTGGAAAATAAAGTAACTAATACAACAAAAGGTAAAACATCAAATTTCGTCAATTATGAACAAAAACTAAAGATTTTTTTTTAAAATAATGTACCAGCAACGAGGCCAGTAGTGGTCAATAAGAATGCTTAGGGTTTATCATTATGATGTATCTTAATTTCCTTTGTATTTACATTTAGATATGCCCTCAAAGTCCTGTCCATCAAATTGGATATCATTTGGATCTTCTTGTTACATGATAATAGCACAGAAAAAGTCATGGGACAACGCAGCTGTGAGCATTTGTTTTATCTCATAACTTACAAAATAAATAACCGTTTACTAAATGTCCTAATTATATGTGTAAATGAAAAGATTTTCAGTTTTCCATTTGAAGTTACAGAGAAGACAACACGGATTGTTGTAAAATCAGCATTTTATAAATGTTATGGTCACTACAATAACCTTCTTTGCAAATATAATCTATCGTTCGTTCGTATCTTGGGCTGACATAACTCATGTCAATGGCAAAATATGTTTTGTTTTAATTAATCTTACTGAGAAATGCCCCGCCTATTTGTTCAGTAAATTAACAAGCGGGTATGATCGGTCAATAAGATTTCGTTATTTCTCTATATGTACCCGATACAGCCTATAGAGTTTTCAAGGTGGGGGGGGGGTTACATATTGTTTCAGATTTGTATATTCTTTACAAATGTCACTTCAGAGTCTTCAATTTTCTTTGTATCATTTTTATATAAATATTTTGCAGATAAAATGTCTACAGTATGGTGCAAAATTAGTCGAGATAGAGACAAAGGAAGAAAACAATTTTCTAAAACAGCGCACCAGCATATATAATAGAAGTATGTATTTCATTGTAAGATCTCATGTAGAATTAACAATATTTTTTGTATTTGTCATATTTTAATTCACTGTAAAATTCTTTCTATCCTACCTGAAAGAGGAATTTTGGATAGGTGGAATAGATGAATTCTTAGAGGGGAGGTTTGTTTGGGCGTCTACAGGAAGTTCCCTGACATTCACGGACTGGAACAAAGGAGAGCCCAATAACGACAAAAGCCGGGAAGACTGTATTGAAATCTCCAGACATCCAGCCAGATTAGGAATGTGGAATGATAACAGCTGCTCTTATGAGTTTTATTTCATATGTGAGAAAACTCTGTAATTAAAAAAAATTCTTCTTGTTATTGAATCATACATTTTCACACAAGTATGTACATTATGAAATAATTGATATTTAGATAGTATGAAGAATCCTCGATCAATAGCTACATGTGTATCACAAAAGTGACTCTGAATGATTTGTCCAAGAAGCCCTGAGTAAATATATATAACTCTTTCGGACCAAGATGTCAAACAAATAGTCAACAAGAAGCTTCAACAAAATATGAAAATTTCATTCTTCACTTTTTATAATCATATGTTTCTTTGAATTTTATTAAGTTTCTCTCATTTCCTTTTATTGCAAAATAATATGTGCAAATTAGTTTTAAAACATGCCCAAAACACAATGATACACCAACACCAGGGTATAGTCTTCGGCACACCCGACTGCTTTATTGTCACGGGTATCGGCATGGAATAGCGACCTGTATTCGTGCGAGTTTTCTGCCATTACTTTGAAGGTTGATAGAAAAGTGTGAATTCCATAGTCAGTTGAATTTAGTTTACTTCATTTCTACATAAGTTCCGAAGTATACAACAGGTTTGGCCCAATTCCTTTTTCGGGAGAGTATTACTATGAAACAATATTATTCCTCTTTTCCGTAATAAAAAACAGGTCTGAATTCGAAAATTTTTGTCATAATATTTTAATAATACCTCAAATTTATTTATTAAATAAAAAGTTTAAAAAAATACCATGTGATGTGTTTAATCTTCATTAAATGAACTTCACTGACCGAATTATTTGGTCCTTTAGTGCTGCTGTGCATAATTCCATTAGAGGTATTGCATAAGAATTTCAACTCTTGTCCAACGGTAATATAAGAATTTTTATTACACACTTAGTAATAAATACAGAATTTTTGCATATGTGATATGGCTGCCGTCTCAATAGCCGTATCAGCCCTGTAGGCCTGATATGGATTTGCAGGGCTGATAACCTATATCAGCCCCGCAAATTCATATCAGCCCTGAAGGGCTGATACGGCTTTTGAGACGTCAATATCACACCCTTAGTAAATTAACCACAAAAACAGTACTTGTGATCATACACAGTTTTTGGTGTGTTCATATTCTTTTAATCTTAACCTTTTGAAAATAAGGTTAATCTTAATTTACAAATACATGTAATAGATTATTTTCAAATTAGGATCGAGTGCATTGAAATAGAAATAGACACAAACCCAAATCGTATGAGACAATAAACCATGTAAATGTATGTGAGAAGTCTGTGCATGATTATTTAGTTATTTTCATCTCAACTTAATATGTCCTTTATTTTATTACTAAGTATTTAATAGATATAATACAACATACCTTTTTCCACATCACATCCTGTATCAGACCTCGACCTAAATCAATAACCTAGCTGTGAAATAACAAAATAGAATTAAATTTGGCACATGTTTAGCGATAAACATGTTCTATAAACAGACGATATGTAATGTATTGCTCCGTTTTTTGCCGTCATAATATGAAAATAACGTAAATATGTAAATGACATGGGACAGAAATGGTTGACCCAGTCATACTTTGGCAACTGGGGCTCAAGTATATGCCAGAGTTTTTCTTTGCAGTAGCATAAAATAATTCGTTTCTGAAAACTAGAGACTTGCCAGAATTCATTCATTTATTTGAGGGATTTTTAAGGCAAATTCATTCATTTATTTGAATTCTTAAGGCAAGATGGATATAAATGATGTTCTTATTTTGAGAGTTAGCTGAGGAAAAGATGCGCCACAAGTTGATCATGAGCAATTTGTTATCGAAGGTTGCAAAGTCACAAATAGGAAAAAGTTGACAAAAAAATATATATTTATATATAAATTATTTAGATTCGTAAAATATTTTATAAGACTTTAATCCTATGGGGATGATCGTTCTTACGAAAGCACCCATACTTTATTCCAATTTCATTAACAAGGATCTAAGGTCGATTAAGGTTATGATGATCACTATGCTTATTTTCATTTGGTACGAAAATCCTTATCAGTTTGTCATGTTCTCGACATTTGGCTATTCTGATAAAAAAAAAACATATAAAAGTTAAAAGTGCGTGGTTGGAAACATAAAAATGGGAAAGAGCTGTGCTTCTATGAACAGAAAGCTACAGATCGTGTCACATGACCGTCTGGATTACCCAATTTTCTCATATCATACATAACTAGTAACAATAGTCTGGGAAAGTCGAGAAAGATAGAAAAACACTCTATTTGACCTTCTTCATTTTGTCCATTATTACCTTTTAGTGATTTATTAAATAATTTATTAATTCTTAGCGTTATAAACCAAATATTTAATAACTGTTTGGATTCAACGAACAATGAAATAAAATATTTTTCTTTGTTGGGATGAAAATAACCCTACCCTTTAACCAGGCAATGTATGCATAATAAATAATTTATGCTTTTCTAAGAATTGTTTTTTTTTTTTTTAGATTTTATGAAATAGGATAAGTGATTCGGAAAAGAGGGCAATATCAAATCAAATAGTTACTTAATTAAGAATATTGATCTAAAAAATGTGAAATTGTCAATTACCTATTTTTCTTTTGTCAAGCTAAGAAGGTAAAATAACTGTTGTTTATAGTCCGAAATTTTCCACGCATAGAAAGTATGCTCCGTGGTATTGTTTTTGCTACTCACCCCTCGGAAAATTTTCATGCAATTTTTCTCGCCAATTTTGATTTCCAGCGATAAACCCGTAGTGTGCAAGTCATAACTGTTTCTGGTAGTAGGTAATTATAATGTCTGCAATAGTTAGTATGTGAATAACGGAAACTAAAGAGCAAAGGCCTAAATATTGGGCAAGTGTGCCACTGCGCAACTCTCTAAGTGTACCACTGTGTAACTCTATTTGGAAAAAAAGTCACAATACCACAATAGTTACATCGCTATACACTGGAAAAAGTATCTTCATAGGGCGCAAAAATGAACACGCATGTCGATTTATTTCAACTCTGAGTGCAGAAGTGTTACAAATTGTTGTCACAACACTGCTATAAATTTATATTTACAAGAATGCTGAGAATCTTGGGTGTGCCTTTTATATAACCCATGCTGTGTGAACTTTGAAGTGTGTCAAAGGCCCCATGTGGGAAAACACGGATTGTTTTGTAGCGGCGTTGAAAGCATAAACAAAAATTGATTTTTATGTGTAAAATGCCACAGCAACAGCAAAATTTTACATTTAAAATTTTTGTTGTTAAAAGCTAAAGAGAAAATTATAAAACAATCAATATAGCGAGTGTATATAATTTGTCGCTTAATTCATTTAATTGTTAAACGAAAAAAATGTTTTCAGTAATTTGTTTGTAAAATCAGTATTTTGAATAGATAAGTGTTTTGAACATTTTATATATTCAATTGTAGGTGACCAGAAATTGTATATTTTTTTCTTGAACCGGAAAGGCTTCCAATAATATGGTGGACCGGACGGGACACTATTGGAATTCAATATGGTGGACCGTGGATGACGTTGGAACGTGGTGTGATTACAACCTATGTGTTTCATATGTATTGTTCATTGTCAAAATATGCAAAAATTTTTTGAAATTTTTATAAAACTTGTTGTTTCTTGGTACACAGGAGGTCTTTTAAATATTTTTTTATTTTGGTTATCTATAAAGAATCCATCAATTAACAATGGTAATTTCACACTGTGTAACTATATCAAAAAATTCACAATACCACAAAAGCTACAACGCTTTACATATTGTTTTTGAAAAAGACTTCAAGGGTAACGCAAAAGAGCTATATGAACACACATGACGACTTATTTTCAACTCTGTCAGAAGTATTAAAAATTGTTGTCACAACACTGCTATATATTTATAATTACACGAATTCATGAGAATTTCTAAAACGAGGTAAAATTTAACCATGAAGGATGCTAAGCGAAGGCGACATGTGACGGAAAACACATCATGTTAGTTCTAACCTTCATAATCAAAAATTGATTTTACAAATTAAACTTTACCACTGCAACAGCAAAACGTTGAAAAAAAACAATTTTTTAAAAGATAAAAGAAAATTATAATGCAATCAAATTGAAAAAAAAAATGATTATTTATCTTTTTTTTTTCTGATCATAATTTAAAGAAAAAAAATATACATTAGCCATGGCAAACAAACATTTGAACCAGAGTCCCCTTTACTATATATTCAATGTTTCTAGATATTGCATTTTTTTTTCTTCTTGTTTTATGGAAACTTCCAACAATCTATTGGAATTCCCATATACCAATTGCGCTCCAATATTAGCAGACCTATTTTAATATTCATATGTATTTCATATTCAAAATATGCAAAATCTTATGCGTGAAAAGGAGAACAAACTTGCTGTGGCCTTCAACTCGACTATTAAATATATCAATGACGTATGTCAATTAACAATGGTAATTTCCATTCCTACGTTGAAACGATATATCAAGGAGAGCTTCACATTAAAGACAATACAGATTCTGACATATCTGTTTCATATTTGGATATTGTTCTTGAAAAAGACGTCAATGGTAACTTAACAACCAAGCTATATGAAAAACAACTTTAACTTTTCTATCGTCAACTTCCTTTACTTATGCAGCTATATTCCTTCATCACTTGCATACGGATATATATATCTTAGTTGATTCGACACGCTATGAATGAACAATATCTAAAATGAGGTAAATTATTGACAAGCAAGTTGATGAAATAAGAATATCAACAGTCTCGTTTAAAGTCATCATTTTGTTAGTTCATGGTCAAAAATGACCTTGTCAGCAAATATAAATCTTTATTGAGTCAAAACTTGACTGACATTTTTCATTAGAATTGTCAGTCCATTATTTATACACTGAATGGACAACAGATTTTTTTTTTCCTGATCATAACAAGGAGCACACGGCGGGTGTGATCGGTCAGCAGGGGATGCTCACTCCTCCATGGCACCTGACCCCAACTCTGATGTTTCGGAGGTCCGTGTTTGCTCTGATCCTATTTTGTATTGCTTTGTGGACTTTGATATTGAATACTGTTCGTTACTCCCATATCCTTCTTGATCAAATCGTAATTTGTCACGATTAACGTTCGTACAAGTAATTGTCATCTTTTATAAACCCGGTGTCTAATTGCCTGTAGTGAACATGTCGTAATCCTCTAAATTATTTACATAATGTTATGTACAGGATAATTAACTCTCAAATTATTGACCATCAGCTGATTGACTCTATTGTCACGCTTCACAACATAGCCACCGATTAACGACAGTGTTTGTTTTAGCACGACCCGGCTTTTTATCGAGGCATGCGAGGTGCATGGCAGTCGTAGTGTAGACACAATTAACTACTCAAGTCATTAAAATAAATGTATGTGGACTGAAATGCAATAAAAATCATGGCGGCTGCCGGTTTTAACTATGGCGCAGCTCGTTTAAGCATGACGCACATACATTTAATCATGGCAGGCCGCAATGGTAAAACCCCCTGTGGAAAACCATAGTATTGCATAAGCAATACATGTCCCCTACCTGGTTGAACATCGGAATGTAGCACAGCACGAACCCCATCTTAAACGATTATGAAAAATTAAGAATGCCATAATTTTGTCAAAAATAAATGAGTCAGAACTACATTCAAACTAGATCTCATCAAGATACATTTACAGACCAAAGTTCAGTTCAATATCTGCAGGTGTTTAGAAAAATGTGCGGAAAACCAAATAGAACAGAATGACAGACAGACGTGGAAGGACGGACAGATTTAGAGGAAACCTGTAGTCCCCTCCGGCTTCACCATTAGAGGACTAACAAAGTATAATACTCAAACCCATATTTATTTTTGACTACAAATCCCTTTGATTAGAAAATAATCCTTTTAAAATATTATTCTAGATTTTTCTATGGCCATATGACAGGAAATTGCGGGTGCTTTTTTCATTAATCCATGCTGTTATTTAGCTATATATACTCTACCTGCACCGAAGCGCCACTTATGGACACGGTGAGCACATTGCTAATTAGAATAATCATACTGATGGGTACTTGATATTTAATTTTTTTTCCTTTTGTCAAGAATCTTAAAAGATGACTTCATAAAAATGCTATATTCCTAACAGGTCGAGAAAACTATTTCCTATGACGTCGGAATAAATTTACATGTTAAGTGGGGAACCAACGTGACTGTCAAGTCGACCAATCAGCTCAATAGGTTACATTATTGTTTACAACAAAGGTACTACACGTGTGTTTCTTAACGGCCATTTTTTTAAATTGCTCTCACCCTCGGAGAAATGTGATGCATTTTTCCAAGCATTTTAAACACTTAATACAATATGAACATCATTATCTACTAATTCGATGCTCACATTTACATACTAATGATTTAGAATGATAAAAATAAGTGTTTTCTTCACTCCATTGTACAAGTCCATTTGTTGACAGCTTTCTCTGTGCTGTACTGTCAGTGAAAAGTCAATATCACGTACATATTCCTTAGTCCAAAAACAATCAACTTTAGGGTATACTCACGTACTGTCAATGATTACAACGTTAAAAATTTCGAAATATATGCTGCTCTCGTTCTATGATCAATGTGCATGAGGAAGGATATGGAAATAACGAACAGTATTCAATCTCAACGTCCATTAAACAAATATACAAAATAAGAGCAGAGCAAACACGGACCTCCGAAACATCAGAGGTGGGATCAGGTGCCATGGAGGAGTGAGCATCCCCTGCCGACCGGTCACACCCGCCGTGTGCTCGTTGTCATAATCAGGAAAAAACGGAAAAAATCCGTGGTCAATTCAGTGTATAAATAATGGACTAACAATTGGTATGAAAAACGTCAGTCAGCATTTCATTCAATGATAAATTGTATTTGCTGACAAGGTCATTGTATCGACCATAGAATTTACGAAATGATGACTTTAAACGAGACTGTTGATATTCTTGTTTCATCAACTTGCTTGTCAATAATTTACCTCGTTTAAGAAATTGTTCATACGTAGAGCATGCTCTTGCGTATCGAATCAACTGAGATATAAATACTCCGTATGCAGGTGATGAAGGATTTATATATAACAGGTAAAAAATAAATAAAAGGCAAATTAAGTTTTTGTTTTTTGTTGTTAATGAAATACAATTTTGATTTCTAGTAACAGATGACTGGGCAACAATTGAATAAGTTTAACCTTTTACATGGCAAATTAACGAATATCGAGATAAAAACTTGAGTCTTATTTACTTCTGAAGACTTTGTGAGTGGTATTTCTAAGTTCTATTGAGCAAGGAAAACTGACTTTGTTTGTTAATGTGAGCATTGCGAATCTGAATTATTACCTCATCTTTGTATTTTTCATAAATACATTTCAAAAAATTGTGAGCTGACTTCCCTGCAGTCATTTGAAATTGCGTCCCTAATTTATTTTCCTGACCCACGTGTTTGTAATAAAAATAAACATGTAGTAGACCATCATACTTTTCGGCTCATTCACTGGATTGAACCATTGTTTGTTGTGAGCACCTCTGTGCGCAATCGAAACAATATCCATATAAGGTAGTTTCCTCGACCTGTTATACTGAAAAACGTAATCATTTTATAGTTATACGTGTAAATAAGGAGTTAAAAAACATTATTTATTTTACAAAAACAATCGTAAACCACATTAAATCAAATAAATTCTAAAAATTATTGAGTTGATCCTTGAAAAATAACATTTTAGTCACCAAAAATTTGGTTTTATTTTGTTTTCATTGTCAGAATTTTTATGTAAATTTGCAATTGTATCAATAACCTTAATTTTTCCAATTTTATCAATATTTTTTAATCATTAATGTACAGTATGTCTAACATTTGAATAAAAATGTTAAACTTTGGGCTTGTTTCATCATTAGTGGTACTGTGACGGTACATCAATACTATAATTTTATTTATATTTCAGAGAACAATTTTCAGTGCATTTATGGAATAATTAAGTATATGTGAAATTGTTACCAATAACTGTTGAGAAATTACAGAATTTTCTTATCTATTCTTTTATTTTATTTGACTCTCTCTTTGTACATAGATTTTGACGCATTGATTTTCTATTAAAAATTTTATAAGGAATTATCCTTCATGAACAAAATATTATATACTATATGACTTCCATTTTTCTTTTGTTAACTACCGTTATTTATGTAACAAAAGCAATATACCTTATCACCTCGTATAGAGTTAAAATTTGATATGTAAAAGCATTAAAAATCAAGAAAAACAACAACAATGATGCTCAAATGTCCATTGACACAATACAGATCTTGAGAAAAGCAAGCATGGGCCATCAAAATTCACGAGGGTTTTTAATCAAGTGCAATAGAGAAGTAAGTAATCCCTGTCCATTGACCACAAGCGTCCAATGCTTGCTGTCATGATTTCCTCAGATAATTCAGTTTTTAGATAAATAATTTTGAACAACAAAAACTGCAAAATGACTAAAGATTTTTTTTAGTCATATACATAACACTCTACAATAAATAATTAACGAGGCCCGATCTACTTGATCTGCGCATACGTTTTAACGCAGCGTCGACTCAGGCACGTCACAGTACCCTGAACTGTCGTCACAATGGAATACAATAACGTCACAATTAAAATGACGTCAAATTGCGCTAAAATGTTTCGCTGATCTTTCTCTATAATAGACTATGTTTGTTGAAAGCTGGCTCATTCTGGCATTTTTTTACTTACATGTTTTAAGAAAATATATATTTTTGAAACATTGTTTATTTTGAAGTAACAATTTCTTGGTAAATATTCATTAATTTTATTTTGTTTTATTTCAGTTTGTGAGTTAGAAAAAACCAGCACTGCGACCAAAAATAAACGATTTTAGTCTTTCTACTCGAACATGTTGAAGTATCTATTCTCATCATTTTTTATTGAGCATAAAGAGCAAATTATGTCATAATGTAAAAATGATTTAATTTTTAGAAACTAATACGTACTACAATCGTTTGTTGATATTATGTAAGCCTATCGTAACTTAAAAAAAAATATCTAGTTGGATAAAATAAGTCCTATTTTTGTGTTTTGATATGACCCCCTTTCACTGCAATAAAGGCTACCTCCTTTTTTCTTTTCATATTTAAATAGACGGGTGCAAATTGCATGATATATGTGAAAATCAAAACATTTCACCACTTATTTTTTCTTTTAATTTGTCTATTACTTTGTTTTTGTGTGGAGTTTTAGTATATAATTGTGTATAAAAACACGAAAAATGGTCCATATATTGAAAGTGCCCCCATTTGACTACAATAAAGGCAAGGTAACAAAATTACATTCTAATTTTTCTTAGCATAATACATACAAATTTATTTCCAAGAATCAAAATTTTTTATCATACCTTTTTCGTAATTTCCAATTAGCTTTGGCTTCGTTAATGAACACTAAAATGAATCTAAATCTAGAAAGACAAAGGGGGGGATGAAATAAATTAGAGTTCAATGGAAACTGCAGAAGAAAGACTTGTTCTACAGTCACAAACTTGAATAGCCAAATTGAAGGCTTACAACGATGTTTGTTATCATTGTGAGCAGACAACACATGTAATTGGTTTGTTGTTAATATACGGAGGACATTTCAAACTTCCACATTTGGCCACCACATCGTAAAACAGGAAACCATTAGCATTTCCTGAACCTCCTTTAATCTGCTCGGGGCTCTCGTCTACGCACGTGTAGAATCCCCGTGATCTGTCACCAGAGTGAGTTTCTGATGATAGATATCCGTGATATTCTTCTGTCCATCCCTTAAGACACTTATTTCTTCCGGGAATCATGAGTACGTGTGTACTTATTTTTAGTTGACAGACTGCGCAGGGGACGTCCGTGTCATCAAAGTTTGGTCCCCAAAAGTTGGTTTCGTACTCAGCACCATGCAATCTGGCAGAATGTGGGGATTTTGTTCGGTATCCCCACAAAACATCATATGTGAGACACAATGGGTTAGCGGCCCCTCCCTTTGAATTGTAAAATGTTCCACCAGCTTGACCTATGTTAGTATAACAACAGTAAACAATAAAGCTCTAATTATTACTTGAATTGTTTTGTTTAAACGATCGATATAGAAATACTGTGTAGAAAATTCTACAGTTTTTCCATTATCTGTTAAATGATAGTCGGCACATCCATACGATATATATATATATATATATATATATATATATATATATATATATATATATATATATATATATATATATATATATATATATATATATATATATATATATATATATATATATATATATAATTATTATTATTATAACAGTAACTTGATTCGAAGGGTCGTATCACGTCTCGTTGACAGGCGCGGATCATCAGATCTAACGAGACGCGAAGCGTCGAGTTTGATCTGATGATCCGCGCCTGTCAACGAGACGTGATACGGCTCTTCGGATCAAGTTTCTGTTATAATGATAAATTTATTATATACCCCCTTATAAGTAGCAAAATATAGCAATAGAAAACTTAAGAGATCAATTGCATAACATTTATCCATAAAACAAAGCATAATAACAAGGGACTTTTTTAACGCGCAAGAAAAATAACGTCATATTTCTGCGTACTACGTCATCAGTTTCAGAGAGTGGTGATATGGATTCAGAAAACAACATGTTGGTGATCCGGAAAATCGGATCACGACGTCACGTGATAGCGTAAATTCAACAGTAAAATTGAGTGATACACATTAGGTATATAATAAATTTACTTAGAAAATTATTTCAGCATTTCATTTACTATTTTAAATATTTAGTTACAAAAAATTCTTTCAGCGAATAGATGAAATTCACACGAAATATATGCAGGTAGTATGAAATCCTAAATGATTGTATTAGCATTTAAATACCCATGAATCTCATGATTTATTAATGAAATCATACATGGAATTTATCTTAGTGAGAATATTTTGTCAATCTATTTGCAAGAGTTGTAATAATTTAAAAGCAACTCAGAAGATGTTAAAGTAATGGAATATGGAGACATAAAATCCATTTGACTTGAATTGCTTTAAAATCAAAATGTTTTGAACAATCACTGATATAGTATGACTTGTTTTTAACATAGATGTTTTTTGTACATTTACATACATGTATAATAATATTATATATTATAAATAAACGAATGTGCGACAAGTACGTGATCATTGGCAAAGTAATAAAAACATATTTAACTGGGTGGCAGTCATGAATTAAGATAGTTCCAATTTTTAGGACAATATCATGTAAAATGACCCAGTTTTAAATAAATTTTTCTTACCAACATAAAGTAATTTTGATCCATTGTTGCAAGTACTTCTACCCCATCTCACATAAGTCGGAGTTCCGCCTAAAATATATGTATATATATGTTGTGGTTCCGAAATTAAAACATTTCTTTCTTGCCTAAAAAGTCAAAACACAAGGAAAAAAGAACCTGAGGACTATCCTCATGTGTGTACCTTCTATTTTGTTCCGCCATAAGTCCGTATTTTCTTTTCTATATAATTTGAGCTTTCTCTCCAGTGATTTCAATTTATTTAACGCATCTGCTAATCTCTGGGCATGGACTTCAGTAGTTTCGTTTATTATAGACTGGACATACAACTCTGCAAAATATGTTGTGTAAAATGTTATTCTGATTTTGTATTCGTTGGTTTGATGATCATTGTTGATTTAAACTAAGCAGGCAATTTTCAGCCACAATTCGGTGAAGATTTGTGAAGTGTTAGGTGTTAAATGATCAATGGAAACTTCTATGTATCTCTCAAATGTTTTCCAACAATTTGTTTTTGTAATATATGATAATATTATATATAGCTCATGATGCTGATCATGATGATATGAATAATTGTTTTATGTAATTATTAGGAATGGCAGTTTGTAATGTAACCTAGTAACCGATTGCTCTTTGGAAAGATAGCAAAATCGGTTAGTCGGAAAAAATAAAATAAATGTAAAACTGAACACAATTTTCGTAAAATTCATTTAAAAAAAGAAATCTCTGGACAAAGGTTGATAATTTAGCATTTAAAGGATCTATTAAATCTGATTTGGAAGGTAATAATGGCTCTTTGAATGGAGGCCGTGGGGGTAATTGGTCAGTTTGTGTTGAGGTAATTATCATTGATAACAACGTGTCGTTAACCCGACTTTCCTTAATTTTTTAATGATAATAATTATTCATTCTAAGCACCATTTCAGTGTATTTGTCGTTTTCAGTTATATCAATCCAAATAAATTATTAAACAAACACTGTAATTAGGGCAACGGTCTAAATGATTTTTGATTATTGTGAGAATGGAAAATGAAATTGTTTGATACCTGCATTGAAAATGTCAATGAATTAATAGTCTGGTTACATGTCCACAAGAAAAAATTACATGTTGTTGAAAGGTGTGTTCCCCGAATGGCTACTCGGAAAAAACAACAAGTAATTATCACACTCAATTAAGGGGCCATCTAAGGGGTACGGGTAGACTTACATGTGTTTACCTGGATAACCAATATTATATAAATCATATACATTCATTCAATTTTATTTTAACTAGGAGTGTTTTTTTCAGGAAATTTTTAATTAAGATTTTTTTTTTAATTTTTAGGAAATATACTTAATAAAAAGATTATAAATAAATAAAATAGATAAAATTAAGATTTTAGATTTTAGAGAAATAAAATTTTTATTGAACCTTTAATTATTTTTTTTTCAAGCTATTCAATAGTATTGATTGAGGATTTACTTATTATCCCCTTTTTGTGCTACATTTTCAAACTCTTTTAAATAAATCGATACAACTGATTTTTTTTTTCGTAAAATTATAGATATTTATGTATGATGAATAAAGTGTTTCTATAAAGTTCTGTTTTATCTAATTCATTTATTTATTTATCATTTTTAATTATCAATACATTTTTTTAAATCATCATTATAAAAAAGTTTATCTTTCAATTTTTATAATAAATATACAGACTCTGCATCTGAACTTCTTCACCGTGGATAGTGATCCCGTAGTTGTGATGAAACATATGGAGATAAAAAAAATCGTAGATATTGTAAATATGTGTTAAATGAAAGTGAAACAGTGCTATTTAATATATACTGTGAAAATCAGTGCTACTAAACAATAGAACTTCAAGATAATTTATAGTTTTAACATGTTTTGTGTTTGTAGAATTATTTATTTAAAATATTATGTCTACAAAATTTTATTTCATACTAGTGCTAAAAAAGAATGAATTAAAAATATTTAAATTCTGGTAGATTATTCATACAGGTAAGTCTACATGTACCCCTAAGAGGGCCCCTTAATTGAGTATGATAATTACTTGTTGTTTTTTCCGAGTAGCCATTCCGGGAATAAACCTGTTGAAAGAATCAAGGCAAAGAATTTTAATTAATAGAAATAAAGTTTAACTTCTAATGTCTTACTTGTAATCGTCTTTTTCTGTCTTTATGTGTATACAGATAGAGCTACTTATAAAAAGAATGTCATGAAAAGTTAACGTTTATTTTGATACGTTAACCGGGAAACCGGTCGGAATCTTTTACGGTTACATGTAACCGATTAGCAATTCGATTGCCATCCCTAAAAAGTTTATTTCTTTACTAAAGTCAATAATAGTAACTAGTAATTATTATTGTTGAATATTATAAAAAAAAAATACGTTTTACTTAGATGGATGTATAAAATAAAATTAATTTATCTGCCAGTAGGTGTGATATTTACATGAATGTATATCTCTCCAAAAACTGAAGAGATTAAAAAGGTGTCCGGTGCATGGGAAAACATACCTATTAATGTACAGTCACTTACTTGATACTGGAACGTTTTTGTTTTTATTATCCTGAGTGATGGCCTTCCATTCCTCGGCCTCTTTGGTTAAATCTTTTAATGTCTTCTCTTGTGACATTCGGATCAAAGTTTCTTGATTAAGTAACAGTCTGACAGTGTCTAGTTCTTGCTTTACATCAGAATACTTATAATTCGAGAATGTCGCTCTGCTTTCTATAGAAAATTCACAAATGATATTGTAAAGAGAGATCTACAAAATAGTATTTAATAAGAAACTTTCCTCTGTAACTTCATTTAAATGAATTTCTAGACAATTACAAATATGTTTACTGTACGTGTTCATCAACTGACGTATTCGTAACTTGGTATAAAATAATTGGCGTAATCATGAATAAGCACACATACATATTTTTGCCATATATTGTATTTAAAAATGATTTTTATACAAAATTTTATTCACATAATGTGAATGGAATCGTGCAGCAGACAAAGCCTATTCTAGCCCTCCCCTTACAAGGTCAAAATGAACACACAATATATACATTGTACATAGTAACAAAGAAACAGGAACAAAGAGAGAAGAGAAATATAATTACAATGAAGTACCGGTTAGAAAGTGTTGGCATAAGTAACATCAAATAAACCGTCTGGTTGCTGCGATGAAAGCATGTATTGCTTCAAATTTTTGAATTCCTTTCAACTACAAATATGAATATCGTACGATGGTTGTTCAATAAATAATGTCCTGAACTGTATGACATTCATTACAGATATCATATGTCATAATGCTTGACTTTTTTGCATTATTGAATCTTTCATAAATTTATGACAATTTATGTGACCACTTTTCATCACATAGTTTCATTGTAAGAAGCTGGAAAACAAGCGTTATTCGAGACACTGCATTAAAAAAAGAATAGTGAAGAATGACTAAACTAGAGCGAAATTAAACGCTTTATGAAATCTGCTGTAAAACTCGTTAAGAATCCCAAAGAAATGTTCTCTGAAACATGTAAGATTTACAATGTCTGTTTTATAGATAAAATAGCAGTTGGATTTCAATTATAAAAATTATATACTGGGCATCAAAAATGGTACTGTCCATGCCAACAAAAATTATATCAATTAATGTACTGTTTGCCTAATTTCAACAAATAATCACTGGTGATGTATGATTAACATTAAGACACATAGCAAATTTGATAAACATTATTTTGGGAGTATATCACACTGTTCCAGAGAAACGGTTGAGAGTGAAAACCCTTAGTACTCAAAAGTAACAATAAGTTTTGAAAAAATGAGTGAAAACGACAGTGTGTAAGAATATCTTAACAATTATTTAAAAATATTAGTAACTGTTATACACGTTTGTTTGAAGTTCCAATAAATAGTAAAACTTGAATCTCTTGCTTAAAACCCTCAAAACAAAATTTATAATAAGATATACTTGAAAAAACCGCAAAAGATCGGAGAAGAGCAAAGAACTGCAAGAGCACAAGGACAGATTTATATGCAGTTTTCTTAATTTTTAATGGTCTTGTTGTTCAAATTCGTATTCATGGAGGCAGTCTATTTTCTGGAAGAGCCTAGAAAGCAGATTTTTTTTCTTTTAAAATCGAAAGGTTAATGAGAGGAAGGAACCAGAATCAGGAACCCACAATAAATTTCTCATGACAATGTCAAAATCCGCACACCCTGAAGAGTAAGAGTTTTTTTGGGGATAAAAGAAAGCTATATTTTTTTTATATTAATAAAATTCATCAGATATTTCGACTTTTGACTAGGAGAAACACCTTAATTCCAGAATGATGAAACGAGTGCAGGACATTACAAGATCCTTCATTTTCCAGTATAATAATGTTCATACCCAAAATGAATTCAAAAAACAATCAGAAATTGGATAAAAAAATATTACGAATACGTGTTTAAATTAAAAGAGAATGTTATGCCAATTCATTTAGAGTAAATAATTGAAAAGCGTCCTTTGTTTGTATGCGAGCTATGAGGACATTATTTATTGAACAGCTCGCGTACGAGTTCATAAACTGACGTATTCGTAATTTAGCACAGTCACTAAGCATTGAAGGGTTGACGTAATCATGAATTAGCACTGCGCATATTTATGTCATATATTGTATTTATAAATGAGTTTTGACGGTATCCATGAATTAGTGCCTAGTCCGCTAAAATATGACGCTAGTCTTTTTAGGTACACATGGAGTTTATTTAGAGAAGTCGGATTCTACAATTCGGCAAAGATGTTTCAATCCAGAATATTTTGCTATGTGTTGAAAACTTATACACATTGTTGGCAACAAAAGCCAAATGATGAGATGGGATCATCCTAAGTAAAATATTTAAAAATTTTAGAAAGCAATTTACTGCATTACATATTTTGAATCACACCCTTTAATTAGTTTGAACACATTTCATAATGTTTGTAAATGGTAAAGAAGAAAAACCATCAGAAGTGGAATCAGATTCCATGGAGGAGTGAACATTCCCAAGCAAAGCTTGTCAAACCGGCCATGTGAATTAATTATGATCAGAATATCCTGGAAAAAATTTGTTCTCATATTCGTGCAAAAATAATGGAATATCAATTGGTATAAACGCAATACAGTATTCGACACAATGATAAATTGTATTTGCCGACAAGGTCATTGTTTCGAACATAGATGTTAGAAAATGATGACTTTAAACAGACTGCTGATATCCTTAATTTATGACATTGTAAGTCATTAATTTAATCTCGTTTTAGGTATTATACATGTATTATGCATAGCAAGCTATCGCGTATCTAATCAACTGAGAGATATAAACTCCATATACAGATGGTGAAAGTATATTGCTTTATAAGTAAACAAAGTTGACGTTTGTAAAGTTGTTTGTGTAAAAGGAGGTTTTGAAGAAAATTTGTATTTTTTCTTAAATCATGTTCAACAAGTTTAAAAAAATATCTATTCTTGTACATTTAAAAGGTCTTTCTACATGCTCTGAATTCGTATTATTTTTTTAATATAGATAAATACAGTTAAATATCAGAAAGGACCGAAAGTTGAATATATAAATTAGTTAAAGACATGGCATATTATTGGCGCAAGCAATCATGAGCAAATGGTCCTTAAAAGTATTTAAAATTAGTTGATGAGTACCGTTATGTGCAATATTATATTTAGTAATTGCTATAATTAAAGCCTAGTTATTATCTTGGATAATGAAAAATGAACTATAAACCTGTTGAGAAGTAAAACTAAAATACATTTCATTTAAAAGAACTAACTTTACAAGGAGGTTAAATGTATGAAATATAATAAAGATAGAAAGGAAAAAAAAAGTTGTCCTTATTTTAAAGACAGATGATACAAACATTTTTTTTTTATTTGGAAGAGACTTAATACCGTGTCACAAGTTTAGAAAAGTGGATAATTCTTAGAAATTTTTTCTCTTAAGAACTGGAAAATGAGAAAGATTGGGAAAATATTATTTATTTAGCAATATTTAAAAAAAAACAATTTTACAAAAATCACACTCAGTAAAGGCTTACAGGTGAAAACAAATTTCAGAATATGTTACCTTAGAGCTAAAAATGAAATATAAAATATACCAAGCCAGGTGAACTTTTTAGGAAAACCAAAATGACAAAAATTCAGCAGTATAATATAGGCTGCTTTTTACCATTTTGCTTTTCCTGATAAGATCACCTTACTTGGTATACTTTTCTAAAGTTAATGTTACTCTTTAAGCACCAAGGTTACATATTCTAAGAATTGTTTTCATCTGTAAATCTTTATTGATTGTGTTTTGTCAATATTTGTATTTTTTTTATATTAGTAACTAAAATTTTCCAATTCAATTTCATTTTCTAGTACTTAGGAGAAAAAAATCTTAGAATTATCAACTTTTCTATGCTTGTGACATGATATTACGTCTCCTCCAAAGATAAAAATTGTATCATCTGTCCTTAAGTAAGACTAATTTTCTACAATTTTTTTAACAGATAAATTCTCAATTTTACATTAAAAGGCTACGCCGGTATGTTAAGGCAGCACATGGACTAGAATTCGGCGAATGAAGACTTTGTTTTATTATTATGTAACACTAATAAATCGGAAAAGTCAAGCATAAAACTTTTGTTATAATTATGCATACTATAGACTTCAATGGGACTTATACTACATAAAGCACTTCACTACGACGTCATCACGTGACATCTATAATAAGGAAATATGCCTTAATGAAAAAGTGAAAAGTTCAACACTAATAATTAATTTCAATTTGTAATAATAATTATGTAAAACAACTCTGTACCATGAAAAGTGCTGCTAGAATCCTACTGTCCTATCACAGAAATAATTATTGAACACTTTCTGACGAAACCTTCCCAAAATTTTTACATTTTGTTCATAACATCGAAAAAAATGAATTAATTCCCGTAAACCATACGATTCTAGCAGCACTTTCCAAAAACAATAGAATAAGAACTTTAGATAGAAACAAAAATTAAGTTTCAAAGTGTGCGGCGTAGTGTTGAACTTTTGTATCTTATTTGTTACGAACGACAGAGGAAAGGCTAATAGGCAAGTAAACACCCCCCCCCCCCCGCTTTAATTTCACGAAGAAATTGTTCAAGTATATTACCATACCTTATTCATAAGCTTTATTCCCACATGAATCACACATGATTTTCATTCTAAATGCTTTTAAACTCCGATTTCTTGTGTTTGTTTACATGAATTCTCGTTACGTTTCACTTTCACTCTACTACTGCATGATCAACAGTTATGAAGTCATGGGTTTGGTATTTAACCCCTGTGATAACTACGACGAAATTCTGTTTGTATTATGCCTCTGCATATTTTGATTAATTTTTACGACCTCAAATCAATCTTAGATATCGATTATAAGAAATTGTTATCTCTAAACTTCACGTCATATAGTTTACTATGACGTCATATCATATAGGCAAGTAGAATATTTGGTTGTAACCTTAACCTACCTGCGTAATAAAGTACTCAATAAAGTAAGATAAAATATTGATTCAACGTATGTGCATCTCTTAGCAAGAAAAAGGATCAGAAAACACAAATCAATGTAGATTAACATATGAACCTTACAAATATATGATAGATCAACTATTTTTGAACGATCAACTACCTTTAACAGAAGGATCTCGTCTTAATCCAGAAGAGTCTGCTTGTAAGGGGAGAATATGACAAAAAACGAAAAATATCAACATCGACATTCTATTCAATATCTTCTACCGTTTGCAAAAGTTGTGGAAAATCTTGCGTTTCACACACTGTTGGGGGTATTTAAATGACTCGTCCTGTCATGCAAATTTGTAATTAACTTGCAATCAATCATTTTATTTTGCCGTTGGTGACGAATGTTTTTGACTTTTTATTTTTCTTTTAAATGTCATATTTTTGTACTTAATTTTATTTACGAATTTAGTAAGAGCATAGATTAAACATATTAAGATAACGAATAACATTCAGGATCTCAAGTCCAATTAACAAAAAAAAAAATAAGAGCCGAGCCAACATGGAGTGGGTTCAGGTGCCATGAAGGAGTAAGCATCCCCTACCGACTGGTCACACTTGCCATGTGTTCCTTGTCATTGTAACGACTAAAGTCAAATTATTTTTAAAGGTTCTTTTATTTTAATTAGATATCAAATTGGCAATGAGTTAACAAACAAATAAATATATACACACATTACCAACAGAGCACACAAACAACAATAAAAGAATTAATCGGTATATGAATTGAAATTCAACTGAACACAAACAATCAAAATATGGCGATGCCACAACCGGTCACTCATACATGTAATATTTTACACTGCGTGTATGTTCTCTACATTGAAATAAACAAGATACTGGTATTTATTACATTAACGATAAGGATATAATATTTAGTATAATTCAAATTTAATAAAACACAAGATTAACAATATTCTTACCGTAACACGTATCACTCTCAATCTCTATCTTGAACACGTTCAGTTCATAACAAGGGAATCAGTACAGTGAGTATAAAGAGATTACTCGACGAACCAGTTTAATAAATCTTAGAGATTTACTCAACAAAATAATAATTTTATAAATTCAAATCACTGCACTGAAAATTAATTAAAAATAGATAACAAATAAATTAATATTCAAATAGAGTTTTTAATAATTAAATCACTGACAAAAGTTAAATACCTGGCGCAAGGACAGAAACTCTATTAATAGACTAATAGACTATCGGTAAATAAGATATGGTGCGCGTTTCGCATTCTCTCAATATACTCGGGAAATAACGGAAATATCTGTCGATAATTCATTGTATAAATATTATACTAACAATTAATATAAAAAGAACGTCAGCCTGCATTTGTCTCAATGATAAATTATTTTTGCTGTATCGATATCATTATCTCCTGAAATTTGAGATTTGATAACCCTCTTTACAAGTGAAGATGAAAACGTTATTGTTCATTTAATTTTATTTCATTTAAAACAATTCATTTTTTTTTTTATAAATAACCATTAATAATAAAATTTAATGGGATATGAAGTACAAAACATTTTACCATGTCAAAGATTTTAATAAATAAAAAACACAATTTTACATTTTATTTTGATACTTTGAAAATTGTCCTCTATGATGCAGAGATACAGAAGCACATACGAATTTATTTTTGAAGATAAAGACGTTGTTGTAACTATTAATTGAAGATTTACAGGCACATCTATGTGCAGAGCATAGACAGTAAATGAAATGAAGAATATTCTCTCCAGTCCGGGGATGATATTTGTTAGAAACAAAATTGCGTTTTAAGGGAAATTTTCCCGATCTTTGTACATAAAGTTGATAGCGGATCATTGCATTCACATGATTCTCTCTTGTCGATTTATCATAATTATTTTAAATGCAATTTAAATTTTATTTATTAAAGATCTTAATATATAAAAACAAAAAAAACTAAATTTTATTGTGTTATACGAGTCGGCAGCTATGGTTTACAGAACAGTGGAGCAGCCGGCAAATATGCATACCCCTAACATCAACAGTATGTTGTGCCTCCCTGTCGGGAAAAGTAGCACGAGGGGTTGACCTCAGTCGTCCAACAAATTAAAGTCACCCGCCTGGCGCAGTGGTAAGAGTGTCTGCTCAAGAGTTGCAAAGTTAGGAGTTAATCACCTGTTCGAATCCCACTGTGGGACGTGGAGATCAGTCCTCTGGATGCGACCGTATAAACTGAGATCCCGTGTTGCAGTAGGTGCTGACACGAGAGAGATTTCTCCCTGCTCAATTGTCCTAAGTGCCAAGCTTAGGGAAAAATTGAAGCTCTTCACCGGCAAGTGGTCGCGTCTTCATATTAATGAAAAATTCTAAATACCATCATTCAATCAATCAGCACAACTTATCTTTAATTATATTATTTTGCCTTAGATTTACATTGTACATCTTGTATAATTGTTAAGTCAGAGTCCGAAACTTTCTATTATAATGGTATCAAGGACTGGGATTCACTTCCAGATGAGATAAAATCCATAAAAAACAAAGCTTTTTTTCAAAAAAGAATTTTAAAAAACCCACCTTTTATTCAAAATGCGTTCAATATCTGAAAATGAGTTTTTATTCTATAAGCTTCTTAAAATTTGTATATTGTCTTATTTGTTTATGTTTTGTCTGTTCTTATTTATATCATAGCATTTAGTGCTAAGTATGTTAATTACTATTGCAATCTATAAGGACCCCATTTAAAATAAGCACATTATTGCTTTCATGGGTCATCGTCAGGTAAATGGCTATACCTTAGATCATTCCAAAGGTCATACTAAGCAGGAAAAGCGCGAAATCCTAGTCAAAAATTGGTTTCCTTCAAGGGCAGCGCTACTTTCTGAAAAAAAGGAGAGAACCCACAGCAGAAATTTAGAATTTTAATACTATTTCCTTAACTTTCTATGAATTATGTACGAGGGCCGTTCAAAATTTACGCGGACTTGTGACACAGAAAAAATATTTGACGACCTAACTGGGCAAAATGTCCCACAAAATATAAAAGTATCATTACTTATATGATCTTCAAAATTTCATATCAAAATGTTGTAAATTTGTATCAATTTTGAGTGATTTTTCAGGACATATCATTAAGTCACGGAGCAGCAAAATTGTAAATTCTTTAAAGAATGTTACTCGTCAGGAGAATCCTCAATTGCTTTGGAAAACTGTGCCATTTTCAAAAAGCCATGAATATCTTCAAATTTAAAATCTCAACATTAACAACATTAAAACATAAACTTTATTTTATATATATTTAAGACAATTTCCATAAACATTCAGTTGATATACTTTTATGATATCATAAAGTAGATACCATATCTAGATCTTATTTTCCCGAAGTATTGTTTTCATGCGCCACTGGTGAAATTGACCGGTACAGAAGTTAAGGGGTTAAAATTCTTACAGTCTCCGTGAATTTCAATGTGTTTTCCCTTACGTTGCATGCAGATATATCTGCTTGTAGGAAAAACAGGATGATGATCAGACATAGCTACATGTACTCGTATTTATGAGTGGTGGGTTTCCCCAATACAGTAAAAGTTGGTTGTTGTGGAAATGATTAAAAGAGAGCATGGGGTGTTAGTAATTCTAGAAGATTAACTGTTAGTTAGTTGAGTTGGTTCAAATTCTTCTAGTGCAGATGTCCAGGATAGATAGGGGTGTCTTTAAGCAAATCAACATTATTATCAAAGTCACCTTTTAGTATGGCTTCTTGGTTCTCCCAGCAGGAAGTTCTAATTTAAGGTAGGACAAAACACCCGTGGATTCTATTTTAACCCACTACTTAAAAAGTAATAGAGAAAAAAAGAATAATATTACTATATTGACAACAATGAATGATCCCTGAAAGAAAAATAATAAGTTTTTGCATATTTGCGTTATATTTTGTGACAAAAATCAGAGAAACCTATATATTGGTCACTTGAGAGCTTACATTTTGGAATGTGTTTACGCTATCTAAGTGCAATAAACAAGTTTTTAACAGTCTGTTATAAAATGCAGTGCAACTTTTGTTCCATTAATAATAAAGGGGTGATATTTTGACACATATATAAGGAGTCTCAATTCTTTATGTACTATTTGACCTATCTATTTGATCCTACCTTAAGAGAGTTTGGTAAGTTAATCATTCATATGCAGGTTATCCAAACTCATAAATCATTTGAACTACTGCATAGAATTTAATTTGTAATCAAGATCAAAAGCAAATACACTTAAGCTTAGATGGTTAGCTCAGATAAAACAAGGGGCCACATTAAAACACGTCTTATCTCTTCGAAATTTTATCTCATTGAGGAAGAATCACGCATTCTGGTGAACTGTACTTTGTTTTCAGCAGAGTCAATGTAACTTCTTTCGTTTAAGGAACGAATTAGGCCTAAATCAATTTTTACTTGGAACATGTAATATTCATGATTCCGGGCATTTATGTGGAGTTAAGGACATATGATTCAAACATTTAAAAAAAAAAAGATTTAATGTCATGTCACAAATATAGAAATGTGGATGTTTCTTAGAATTTTTTCTCCAAAGAACTGGAATATGAAAAAGACTTGGAAAATATTAATAATATTTCAATGAAAAAACAAATACAGACAAATCACATTCAGTTAGGTTTACAGGTGGAAACAAATTTCAGAATATGTTAACATGGTGCTAAAAGTGTAATATAGACTAAAGAAAAATATACCAAGCCAGGTGAATTTTATTAGGAAAAGCTAAATGGTAAAAATCAGCCTATGTGATATTGCTTATTTTTTGTCATTTTGATCTTCCTCTTAAAATTCACCTGGCTTGGTATTTTTTTTTAAGTTTATATTACACTTTTAGTGCCAAGATAACATATTCTAAAATTCGTTTTCACCTGTAAACCCTTACTGAATGTGATTTCTATTTTTGTTTTTTTTTTTTATTGAAATACAACTAATATTTTAAAAGTCTATTTCATTTTCCAGTTTTTTGGACAAAACATTCTAAGAACCATCCACTTTTTTAAACTTGTGACATGATATTAAATCCTTTTAAAAGAAAACATTTGGTTGTATCATCTGTCCTTCAAGCCAATTTAGGACAACACGTACAGCTGGTAATACTTCAATTCATTTTTTAGAATTCTAAAATTTTACTTACATACTTAATTAAATATTTACATATTGCTATTTAAATAAAATGTGTTGTTAATACTTTTAAGCTGCTTGTCGTTGCTAATCATTAAACGTGTTTTGCTCTTTATTATTACTGATTTGGTGACAAATGCGTTTTAAGGGAAAATTAAAAGATACAGAAAACATATAGATTCGACAAGTGCATTATTTCCCTTATGACGTACATGTTACAAGTATATTTAGAGGACTCGGGCTACATCTTAGACCAAACGGACTCATAAGATTCGGTCAACATTGCATGCTATAAAAAAGTAAAGTATTATTGTCTAATTCTTCTTGCACATTAATAAAGTAATTTGAGGTACATCTTTGTTTATTTTCCTCGATATGGAGAAAGCACTCCTTTAAAATGTACTTTTATGATAATCAAAAACTGTAGAATCAGATCAAATTATCTTTTAAATATATATTTACTCTTCTTTCAAACTTTTTAATTATTTTTAGATACTTTATCGGAGTCTCTCTTTTTATGCATTAGAAAGATTTCATACTTGATAAGACTGTCTCAAAAATTTTTTTTTCTCCTTTCGATAAAACCATCCATTCCATTTTGTTTTTCTCTCATATATTGAGTGGCAGTTATACACATTATCAGATTTGAAATTTACTTTTTTTAAGTAGTTGTTTTTCCGCGTAACGCTCTTAATCTCATCCTGTTATCCCTTGTTGTTTTTCTTTTTTAGGATTTCAAGCATCAGACACTTAAGATAAAATGATACATGTGATACTCTCATCTTCTAATTTTCCATATACGTATATTTTGCCAAAAGATAAATATCTTGGCAGTCAA